CTCTTCCTAGAAGGCATTTAGGCATTGTTAAGTCCAATTGATTGTTAGTGTTGTTAAAGTTTTCTCTTTCCTTGTTGTTCTAACTGTTCTGTTTTGAAAGTGAGCATTGAAGTTTCTAACTATTGTTCAGTTGTCTAATGTCTGTCTGGTTTTGCCTCTTGTGTTTTGTGCTCTGTTATTAGTTACATATGTGTTTGTAATTGTTATATCTTCCTGATGGATTGGCCTTTTTGTCTTTTGCCTCTAACATTATGTATTTAAAATATCCATACTTTTTTTTGTGAGGGGAGGGGGTACCGGGGATTGAACTCAGGGGCCCTTAACCACGGAGCTACACATCCCCAGCCCATTCTTATATTTTATTTAGAGATGGTGTCTCATTGAGTTGCTTAAGGCCCTGCTAAATTGCTGAGGCTGGCTTTGAACTCCTGCCTCAGCCTCCCAAGCTGCTGGGATTCCAGGCATGCAACACCAAGCCTAGCTCTAAAAATAACCATAGTTCTTGTGCATAAAATTCCATCTTCATATAAACCTATCACCCCTGCTGCCTCCTCTGGATTCAGGAACAGCCTTAAAAGAAAGATGATGGTTTTTCTTTTCAAGAGCTGAGGAAATATCACTGAATCTTCCTGGAGACTTCACCTTGAGAAATGGTGACCACAAAAACAAAATCCCTGATCTCGGCCTCCCTAGCCATGGCCTGCCTGGGCACATGCAGAGATTACTGGTGAGATGTATGTGTGGCTGGTGACTGTTGCTGGGGCTTCTGCTTAGAGGGCAGGATGAGGAATGGAGGCAGGTCAGGAGGCAGGTCAGTGGGCAGTTCGTGTAAGATTCCCTTCTTGTCTTTAGTAACATTTTTTGTTTATTTTGTCTGATATCAGTCAGTATACATCCACCCCACCCCCAGCCCCAGTTTTCTCCTGGTTGCTGTTTGCATGATGGATCTTTCCCCACATTCCTACTTTCAGTCTTTTTGTACCTGTAAATATAAATTGTGGCTCCTCTAGACAGCATGTTTATTTGGATCTTGTTCTCATCCGGTTGGACAGTCTCTGTACTTCATTGGATTATTTAATCTATTCACATTTAATGTCTTCTTAATATAGTTGGATCTACATCTTCCATTTTACTTTTTGTTTTCTACATCTTGTGTCCTTTCTGTTCCTTCTTTTCTGTTTTCTTTTGCATTAAGTGAATCTGTCTAATGTATCATTTTAATTTCTTAATGAAATAAAAAATTATTTTTGTGCTATTGGTTTAGCGGTTGCTCTAAAGGGTACGATTCCATCTTAACACATCAGAGTCAGCTTCAGAGTTATACTAGCTTAATGCTAGGGACACACAGCAATGCCACTCCTCTTTATCTCAACTCCCCTTCCCACAATGCTATGGTATTACTGTTTCAATGAGGAGCTTTTATTTTATTTTTAAATATTTTTTTAGTTGTCAATACACATTTATTTTTTGTTTTATATACAGTGCTGAAAATCAAACCCAGTGCTTCACATGTGCTAAGCAAATGCTCTACCACTGAGCTACAGCTATTATTATGTTTTGTTTGTTTGTTTTTGGTACCAGGGTTTGAACCTGAGGGTACTTAACCACTGAGCCACATCCCAAGCCATTCTTTTATTTTGCAACAGGGTCTCACTAAGTTGCTGAGGGCCTTGCTAAGTTGCTGAGGCTGGCTTTGAACTTGGGATCCTCCTGTTTCAATTTCCCACGTTGCTTGGATTACAGGTGTGCGCCATGGCACCTGGCTAGTGAGGAGCTTTTAAAAAACGACAGATTTCTAGACTACCCTAGACCTACTGAATCGCAATCTGTATTTTTTTTTCCTAAGGCTCCCCAGGTGATTCTGATGGTTGGCAAGTTTGGGAAATCTCTTTCCTAGAAGGCGAGGAAACTGGAGCCTAGTTGTAGCTAATTTCTTTAACAAGTTATAAATATGAATTGTTACAATTGAGGAAATCAAGTAAAAGAAATTTATGGATTTTGATTCCTTTCCAAGTCATTATTGGAACCTAAAGGGAAGACTTTTCTAGAAATAAAGGGAGATTTCAGAAATAGAGCAAATCGAAAATTTCAGGCCCAGATTGGCTTAACCTACTTGGTTACATATGAAGACGACAGTAGTAATGACTGAGAGTTGGACTGAAATGTGTTTGAAAAACTTCCTCCGAAGAGGCCAAACTATTAAGAACTAATACTTATTGGGCATTAGCAATATTCCAGGATCTCTTTTAAGGGCTTCAAGTATGGATCTTATTTCTTTCTCTCACTAATTCCATGATGCACATGATATGTGTTCACTTTAAAAAGAAAGCAAAATTCAAGTGAAGACCTATTTATACACACAGATACTGAGAGTTGAAGGTTTGGAATGTGGGTTTAGTGTCAAGCCTGACCTTTAAACTATTACATTTTCTTGCTCCAAATCAAGAAATGTATGAAGGGAGAATAATGATTCTATTTATAATCTCTTGATTCTTCTTGTTTAGTATAAAATTACAGTGATCTGATCATGGCTTCCTAATGTACAAAATTTTCTGCAAAATAAGTTTTTGACCTAGAGAGGAATAATAGAGAAGAACAAATAGTAAGGAGGTACCATGATGAGATCAGTCAGGAAACCTGACTGGCTGGTCAGAAGGCATAAAATCAATGATTCTGAAACAGTAGCATTTTTGATATGAATGAGAAAAAGAATTTGTATAACATGGAAATTTAAATAATAGCATTTATAAATAAAACTTACAACCAAAGAATTGCTTCTTCCTAAATTTTTATAAATTTATAATTTCATTATATGTCCAATTATCCCCAACATAAATAACCCAAAATACCCTACAAATAGTACAATGTAGAAAAGATGCCTTGGGTGAACACTTACTTACATGCGAACTGTTTTTCCATATACTTATAATAATACTATGTTAGAGTAATTACAGCTTGAATTTCTTAATATTAAGAAAACAGTATGATATACACATATAATACTTTATATTTGTACCTTAATTTTCAAGTTATTTGTGTATATAAATTAGTAGAGTTCCTCTTTAGTATTTGAGTTATAAACCTTTTCAATATTGACTACATACACCTCATCACACTTATAAACAACTTTTGCACCATATTCAAATTTATTTCCTACATCAAGATGAAAAGAACCAAATGGAGTATCCCCAGGATGTCCACAGGGCTTCCCTAAAATAAAAATATATATGTATATGTATTAGTATGTTTTACAGGGAACACATTTATGTAGGAGTTTGTGGACAAAGATATTTGGCATTTAATTAGAGGACAACATTGAATATAAGGAAAATTGAAAATAGCAAAGGTATTATTTTATAATTGAATGTATTTTTGAATTTTGTCGGATTACTGTCCTCTTTTTTAAAATAATCATGTATTGTTTTGTATTAAAATGATAAGAATGATATAATTCAACCAGTATTGTTACAATATCAAGTATTAAGCATTTTCACAACTAAAATATTTCATAAATTTCACAAAAAAAGTGAAGTACTCAGGGCTGGGGTTGTGGCTCAGTGGTAGAGTGCTCACCTAGCATGCACGAGGCACTGGGTTCAATCCTCAGCACCACATAAATGTAAAATAAAGATATTGTGTCCACCTAAAACTTAAGAATAAGTATTGTTTTAAAAAGTGAAGTACTTACTCTGACATATCCTGCCTGGATTAAGAGCCACCCATTCTCCATTTCTGCATGCCTTTTGATGGTACCAAGTGTTCTTTAGCCAGGGTGGCATTTGTAGGTAGCCTGAGTACCCTCTGTATAAGGCTGGTCAGGCCAGGAACCTAACAGAATTTCTGTATCTCCTATTGGAGGAGGTCCTTGGCAATCTGCAAATAATAAAAGCAAACATATGGTATGTTGGGGTTAGCTTTGCTTTTAAAAATACCTATGTGGTTACTGATCCATCCCTTGTGGGCATGTGTGTCATGGGTTGGTTGTGATGTGTCCCCTAAAGCTCACTTATAAGATAATGCAAGAAGGTTTAGAAGAAAAATGAATGGGTTATGAGAGCTTTAACCCAATCAGTGAATGCATCTGTTGATGGGGGGATGGGGATTAACAGAGTGGTAAATAAAGGTGAGTAGGGTGTGGCTGGAAGAGATGGGTCATTAGAGTATCTGGTCATTTTGTATCTGGCCAGTGGAGTCTCTCTCTGTCTCTCTGCCTCCTGATCATCATGTGAGCAGCTTCCCTCTGCCACACTCTTCCCTGATGATGTTGTGCCTCACCTCAAACCCTGAGGAATGGAGCTGCCTATCTATGAACTGAGACTTCTGAAATGGTGAGACCTCAGATAAACTTTTCCTCCTCTGCAATTGTTCTGGTCAGATCTTTTAATCACAGCAACGGAAAGCTGACTAGAACAGTGTGCATGTAAAATAGTGTGTGTGTGTTTAAAAGTAAATTGTGGGATTGAGAGGATTAAATTAATTAAATCCAAATGAGAAAGCTCTATTTCATGCAAACATATGGTCTTTGGCTATTTCTTACCTGGTTAGGACTGCCAGCTCTGGATATGGATTGATGATATGAATTTGAATAAATAGAGGAATGGTAATGAAGAAAGGAAGAACCAGATGAACTTTGAGAGATTACATTTAGCTTAAAATTTTCTGAAACTTGGTAGAGTGCTCACCTAGCATGCACGAGGCACTGCTGAGGTTTTGGACTGAAATTTCCCATATTCTCAGACAAAATGTCCCAAAAGGAAAAGTGGCCTGCTTTAAATAAACAGTTAGTATCTTTATTGAACATATTTGCTATATTTGAAAATCACTCAGGATCAAATTTTAAAACAGGAGTTAAAGCATCAAAGAAGCAGGTAAATTTATCAGTCTTTTGGGATAGAGGAACAAGATTCTAACCAGGTTCTCAATTGAAAACACACACACACACACACAGTCCTCTCTTTGCATCTTTTCATACCAGAAGTGGACTGACACAAACTAAAATGTAACCCAGGCCCAAATGAGTTTAATTAGATCAAAAGAAAGCAAACATTCTCATTGGTGGGAGTAATTATATAAACTTAAGTCATAACATTCCATCTCATACAAAATGTATGGACTCAAATGAAAATTAAAGCACACATGAAAGGAGAAAACGTATGTCCAGGAAGAGAAAATAAAGTTAGTAAATAGCAGACACTTAGCTCCTGAAGCTACAATGCTATCAATATCTTTAGAATAACTCTTTTAAGTATGTTAAAGAAACTATATAAAGAAGATGTAAATGAGTAAAAATAAAAAGATACCCAAACAAAATGACTCTAAAAATCATGTGTTATTCTGAAAGTACAGAATAAATATGTGAAATAATGTCTCATGAGTCATATGGACACAGAGGGAAATATAGTAAACTTGAAGAAAGTCTAATGTAGAAATGCCACAAGTGAAATACAGAAAGGCTAAAGTGCATAAATAAGAACAAATCAAACAGAGTAAAAAAATGTGTCATACAGTGTCAAGTAACAGAACATATGAATAACTGGAGTTTCAAAGGAGGGAAAACTGACAGAAGTAATAACTGAAAAATTAATACTGAAAGGTACCTAAAATCTATTAGAGAAATCAAAACACAAATGTAAATTTTGGCAAACTCCCCAGAGTATATACACAAAGGAAACCTATATTTAGGCTCTGCTAAAACACACACATAAAAAAACAAAAGCAAAAAACCTTAAACACATACAGAAAAAAATTTTATTTTGATAACACCAAAATAACAACTGAGTCTATAATAGTAAATGTTGAAGCATGAAATCGTTGTCTTACATTTCTAAAATTAGATGCTTAAAATTTCATTTCTAAAATTAGTTAGGTGCTTAAAATTATATGTCAACTGAGAATTCATGAAGAAAATCTTATTTTGGGCTCACCAACTCAGAGGTTTAATCCTTAAAACTATGAACTGAGAATAAATTATTTTTTTGCTAAGTAACTGTTGTCAGGTACTTTGGTCACAGCGATGAAAAGCTGACTGATAAATTGATACTGAAAAGTAGGGTTGTTGCTGTGAGTAACCTGACCATGTGGTTCAGAAGCCTTTTGAACTGGTTTGTGGCAGGAGTTTGGACATGTTTGGAGATGCAGGCTGGAGAAAACTTAGAATGTTAAAAGCAAAGCTTTTTAGGTAATTCTGATGGGAGCTGAGAAGACCAGAATGTTGATAACAATATGAACAGTAAAAAGACTATGCTCATGAGGTTTCAGATGGTAATGAGGACTCTTAGGAATTGGATTAGAGACAAGTCACATTAGATACAGTCACATGACAGCAAAGAACTTTTCTGCAATTTGCCCATGACCTGAAACTTTGAGTCTCAATCTATAGTTGATGGACTAATAAATCTGGGGGAGTAAAGTTCAAGGCAGCACAAATTCAGAAAGTTGCATGGGTATTGCTGGTGGTTATTAATCCAAGTTTACTATGATAATCAGAAGCAAAAAACCCAGGAAAGATTGAAAAAGCTTTCAGTTTGGCCAAAGAAGTAGATGTGGTTGCTGAAGAGATTACCACCACTAAAGAGAAGCTAAGTATTTTATCCAGAGATAATAGAAAAGATTCCTTAAGGGCACCTTAGGAAACTACACCCATTGAAGTCTTAAGGGTGTAAAATAAAAATTCATTTGAAAAGAGATCATAGGAGCACCCTGCCTCCATAAGAGGGACCTATGAAGTTCCTTCCTCATGGGTCCTTAAATAATGTTCAGTTGTCTAGATTCAAGGGCCCTTGCAACCATAGTCAAGGAGCCCAGCTATTCCTTGAGCTGGCAGCAGGAGTTGGCATCATCCATGTGGTGCCAGTTGTTCAAGAATGTAGGATTCTGGAGTTGGGGATCATGGAGGCCTCCACTGAGGTTTCAAAGGAAGTCCTGGGAGGCCAGGCAAAGTGCAGGAGGGTCAGCATCCCTTCAGGTAGCCCCTGAGACAGAAATGCATAAAAATGTGAGAATGAAGCTAAAGCTGCAGTGGAGACCTCAGGAATTAAGAGATTCTAGTAACATGGAACATCTGCCAAGGAAAGCTGTAGGAAGCAATGGGCAGAGCCATCCAAGAGAGAAGCCATGTTGGATGCAGCGCACAAGGCCAAAGGGGTGGGGCCACAGAAAAGGGATTCACATCTCACCACAATCTATGTAAGAGAACACAAATATTCTCTTAAATCTTCTTTAACCATCCACTATATTTGACACTCAGTTGTTTAACTCACTAATATTTTGTGCCATTAATCTACTATCATATTTGCTTATTTTATCAATATTTTCATTTTTTCTTTAATTTTTTGAAAAAATGATAGATTAAAACAAAAATTATACCTAATAACAGTTTACTATGTGGTATTTCCCTGTTTGTATAGTCTGTGTAATGTTTAAGTCAAGCTAAACATCTATCTTCTCAATGATCTATCATTTCTTCATGGTGAAAACATCTTTTTAATTGATAATTATTTGCACATATTTATGGGGTCTTTATGATGTTTTAATACATGTATACTTTGCACAATGTCCAAATCAGGACAAATATCTTTCTCTTCAAACATTTATTTCTTTGCAGTTAGAACATTCAAAATCCTTTCTCCAGCTCTTGAAATACACAGTACATTATCATAATTGATACTTACCCTATATACAATGAAAACTTAATGTTTTAAACACTATGATTAAATATCAAAAGTATAAAGTTTAATGAATAAAACAAATTTCAAAAACAACATATATATTATAGTATTTTAAAAATAAAAAAACTATGCAAAATTAAACAACTGAAAAATTACATTCTTCTTTCCAGTAAGAAAAGCATTAATACTACCAAAATTCAAATGTTAAAATGAAAAAAAAAGTTCATTTTCTTAAGAACAGTCATTAACATGACCATTACTTGTTAGGTTTATTAGGCAAAAGTAATAAAAGTCCAATTTGGACCCTGAATGGGTTCATGCTGGTGAAGCCAGAATTAGCCAGGCAGTCAACATAGGTAGGTAAATCGAGTCAGGTCGGATCAAGGAGGCCAATTTGAGTAAGTCCAGAAAGTTGGAGTCTGCCTCCTAGGGACTTCAGAGCCCTTCCTCCACCCTTATCATGATAATCTGCCCTGTTCCAACCTGTTGCTAAGGTAATCTGCCCCAGGAATTGTCCCTCCCTACAGGGAGTTGTAAAAGCTGTTAATTAATGTGTCCTGGGCTGCTTCATCTGACCAATCCCCCTGTCCATCTGCTTCTCACCTTTTGGTCATTCCACCTGAGCATCTCCTGGGCCTAGTCACATACACAGAAAGGAGAGAGATAAGGGGAAGAGAGCAGGAGAACAAAGGAAGCCTAAGACATTAAAAACAAACAAACAAAAGGCAGAATACCCTCACTTCTTAAGATACCAGGATACCAGCCATGGCCCCCTTCTTCCTCCTGGGAGAAGTCTATGTTACCCCTTTCTAAATAAACCCTGCTTTATATGCTTGCCTTGGTGTGCTTCTCTAATGTTATACTTCAACATGTGAGGAAGCAGGATTCCTCTCCAGTAACTGGTGGTATCACTGGTATGAATGCCTTGCTTCATTTTAAAGAATACACAGAAAACCAAAGAAAAGAGTGAAATCTTAACATGGCCAAAGAAAAGGTCAGATTCATTTAATGGCAATTAATGGTTAGACTTACAGCAGACTTCTCAATAGCAGTAACAAGCTAGAAGATGTTAAAAGATCTTTTTAAATTTGGAGAAAGCTGTAATTACCAATCTAGAATTCTACATACACAAATAATTTTTCAAGAATGAAAATTTGATCAATAAAATTTGAGAAAATTGCCTCCATAAATTCACATTAATAAAACAAAAACAAATGAATTAAAAGATATACTTCAGAAAAAGGAAAATGCCCCTGGATATAGGGTCTATGATAATAGAGAAATGAAGAGCCAAGAAAATGATATACACAGGAGTAAATCAAAATTAACATTGACTACAAAACAAATATATATAATATATGTACATATATAATCTTATGCTGCTTAAATACACAAGTGTGCACACACACACATATATAAACTACATGACAATGGTGTATAAACTGAGAAAAGAGAATTGATGTCTTATGAGCTCTCAGTGTTGAGAAGAGTGGAAAGGTATTAACTAGCTGTGATAGTTTTCTTTTTTATTTTAATAATTTGTATTTTATGTTTTACACAAATGGAGCACAACTTTCCATTTCTCTGGTTGTACATGATGTAGGGCTACACCATTCGTGCACTCATACTCATACATAGGTGTAACAATTGATAGATGAAAATGGCTGGGCCTCCATCTTTTGGTATTCGATCAAACACTAATCTATGTGCTGCTAGGAGGGCATGCAATAAATCTATTGACTTTACTCCAGGTGATTATTCAAGGTAAAAGTTCTGGAAGGAATTTTACTGTGGACAGCAGTTGCCTTCCCTGTGAGTTCCAGTCTGTTTGTGACCAGATTCTCCTTCTGACTTCCCACCATGTAGATTTCAGACTTAGATTGTTCCCACAATTTCCTAAGCAACTAGGAAGAATCTCTTATTTTAAGAGCAAGATAGATAAATGGGTATATTGATCAACTGATTGACATTTAGATAATCTTCTGCTGATTAGACTTTTCTTCTGAAGTCTGAGTGATAAATTAGCATCAGACTTTGTTAAGAAGGCTCGTGCTATGATATCCATGTTTGTTGCTTCCCCAACATTCATGTTTAAACCTAATCACCAATGTGTTGGTATTAGGAGGTGGGGTTTGGGGAGGTAATTAGATTATGTAAGTGGAGCTCTCATGAAGGGGATTAGAGCTATGTTAAAAGAAGCTTTAGAGTGGTTTTACAAAGGAGGCTGCCCTGACCATTCCACTGTGTGGGGACACAAGTAGAAGGTGCTGTCTATGAACCAGAAGATGTCCTCAGTTGATCCTCTGCTGGCACCTTCTCACACTTCCCAGCCTTCAGAACTGTCAAAAATAAACATCTGATGTTTTTATAAACTGCCCAGTTAATGATGGTGTGCTATAGCAGTCCAAATGAATTAAGACAACTAGTTTTAATTCCTAGATTAATTGCCAAAGTTACAGAAGCAGAATTGAGATGAAATTTTTAACCTTTAAGGGAAAGATTAAATCATGAAAATTAACCAATTCAGAAGGCAGCAAGATTGTAAAGAGGAATCAAATACAGTAAAAGGGATTAAGCTAAAGGGTTAGATTTTAACTGCAACACATCAGTAATTTTATGACACAGAAATGGATTGAATGTTCCAGTTAAATGGGGAAACTGGCTATCCATATGTAGAAGAATGAAACTAGACTTTTATCTCTCACCCTGCACAAAAATCAACTCAAAATGGATCAAAGACCTAGGGATTAGACCAGAAACTGTGCAACTCCTAGAAGAAAATGTAGGATCATCACTCCAACTCAACAGGCTATCAACACTCAGGAAATAATGCCAACAGTTAATAAATGGGATGGTATCAAATTAAAAATCTTCTGCACAGCAAAGGAAACAATTAAGAATGTGAAGAGAGAACCTACAGAATGGGAGAAAATCTTTACTAGTGACTCTTCTGACATAGGTTAATATCTAGGATATATAAAGAACTCAAAAAACTTCACACCAAAAAAATCAAATAACCCAGTTACTAAAAGGGCAAACAAACACAAATTTCTCAAAAGAAGAAATACAAATACATATGAAAAAAAATTCCACATTATTAACAATCAAGGAAATGCAAATCAAAACTACACTGAGATTTCATCTACACCAGTCAGAATGGCAGTCATCAAGAATACTAATAATGGGCTGGGAATATAGCTCAGTTGGTAGAGTGCTTGCCTCACATGCAGAAGGCCCTGGGTTCAATCCCCAGCACCATTAAAAAAAAAAGTTTAAAATAAAATGTGAAGCACCTAGTAAAAAGTATATATATGTGTGTGTGTGAGTGTGTGTGTGTGTGTGTGTGTGTGTGTGTGTATAAAATCTTAGAGTGTATATGTTTCAAAATTACTATTGGAGACAGTGTGTACATCTTTAATAATTGATGAGAACATAGCAAGAAAAATTCTTAAGGATATTTTGAAAAACTTACAAAAGACTTACTTTATATACAAAGAACACTGTACCCAACAATATTTTTTAAAAAACACATAAAATATTTATGAAAATAAATTACATTAGATGATAATAATGCAAGTTCTGATAAATTTCAAACTATCAAAATCAGAATATATTCTTGTTCCCCCACGTTATAAGAAAAAAAAAAAAAACCAAGAAAATAGCAATGAACAAAAATTGGTTTACAAATTCATAAAGTCTTCTATAGGTCAATGAGAAAATCAATGAGAATTAGAAAATATTTTGAAGTGAATAATAACCAAAATTGTACACAAACATTTAGTAAAATAAATAAAAATACAGAAAGGAGGTAAAACTTAAGGAAGTGAGAATTCTCAAAAAGCTAGAAAAATAGCTGTGTAGAAAGAAATTAGGAAATAATAGTAAAAAGAGAAGAAATAATAAAATGAAAAAAAATACACAATATATAAAGCATTAAAGAAACTAAAAGCTAGTTTGGGGACAAAACAAAATTAATGCAATCCTGAAAAGACTAATCAAGAGTAAAGGGAGGGGGCACAAATAATCATCATTAGGAATAAAACAGAATGATTAGAATTATTTGTAATAGATTATGTTCATATTTTATTTACTTATATGTATTGTTTTACAATAAAATATGAAAGAAAAATCTACATATTATTCTTATTTGTAATATTAGTTATATGATATACAAAATGAAAACAAAGTTAATAAATACGGGGGCATGGGGGTAGGAAGGATAGTAGAATGAATCAGACATTATTGCCCTATGTACACATATAAGACCAGTGGGATTCTACATCGTGTACAACTAGAAGGATGAGGAATTATACTCCATCTATGTGTGATGTGTAAGGGTGCGTTCTACTGTCATGTATAGCTAACTAGAACAAACAAAAATAAAATAAAATAAAATGAAAAAATAAATATGCTGGTTATTGATTTTAATTGTTAATGCTTTTAAGACTGTGTGCTGTTTAACTAAGATACAATAACAGTGATATTAGAAAGACTGCATCCTGTGGTGAGCCGCTTCTGCCATTTCTGCAGACTATGGTCGCCATTACAAGATGGCGCTGGCTCCGCTGTGGTCTGTGACAAACAACTCCTTATTTGGGAGAGTTGGCGCATGGTTTTTCACCACCCTATGAGAAAGCTCCACGTGGCAGCTTCGCATTGGGGCTTGAGATGCTTTATTAAGGCTGGGAGGGGCATCCGAGAGGAAGAAGAAGAAGTATCAAGGGCCTGAATAAACTGCTGAAAGAAGATTCCTGAGTTGCGTCTTCCTTGCGGGCAAGGGGTCACGACAAGTGGTGCCGAAACCCGGGAACCAGAACTTTCAGCAGTCAGGGGTGGTGCACCGGTTAGTCCCAATAAGTGGGATCCACGATCAAAGCGGGGTTAGTCCCAGGTAAGTGGGATCCGCGATCAAAGCGGGGTTAGTCCCAGGTAAGTGGGATCCGCGACCAAAGCGGGGCAGCTCCCCTGTAAAGAAAGAGAGAGCATTACATTTTATTGCAGCTGCACTGTGTACTTTCACTTTTGTTTTCTGTGTTTCTTTTGTTGTGTCATTTCGCTTTTGTTTTTTGTGCTTCTTTTGTTGTTGTGTCATGGGTGCCGCATCTTCAAGTCCGCTTCTCCTGGCCCTAGATGGGTTGTTACATTCAAAAGGACTTAAGATAAAGCAGAGCACTTTGCAGATGTTTTTAAGAGAAGCTGATATAGCGGCTCCTTGGTTTGCTTTTTCAGGGAGTCTTAAGATTCCCAGCTGGGACAAATTAGGGAAAGATCTAGATTTCGCTTGTGAGCAAGGAACCTTAGAGGGTGGTGTTATACCACTTTGGAAGTTAGTTAGAGGATGTATAACAGATGGTAAATGCCAGGAAGCTGTGAGTGAGGGTCAAGCTATTCTTGAGCAACTGCATGAGGAAAAATCTGAAGGATCATGTAGTGAAGTGGCAGAGAGTATTAAAAATAACAGTAGTGAGAAGGCAAAAGAGCCTGAAGATAAAAATAGGAGAAGGCTCTACCCAGACTTGACCGAATTAAAAACGCCTGAGAACACAAGCGACTCAGAGAGTTCTGAGGACCTTGATATATTGTTACAACAACTACATAAGATAAAAATGAAAAAGAAGAAAAAGGAGACACAGGGCACACAGGCCTACTGTAAGAAGGGGAAGGGAGTTAACATCGGTCAACAAAACTCGGAGGAGGAGGAGGTAGAATATCTAGAAGAAGATATGGTGCCGATTGCCCCACCTCCGTATGTGGGGGGAGCCAAGGTTCCGGGAGATCTTTTCATGCACAAGTTTGGAGGACAGTTAATACAGATATGGGACTTGCATACCCTGTATTTCAGGACAATAACAGGGGAAGATATCATGAGCCTTTAGACTTTAAGATAATTAAAACCTTGGCAGAATCTGTCCGCACTTATAGCATAGATGCCGCTTTCACTCTCACTCAGGTGGAGGGACTTACTAGATTTTGCATGACTCCCTCAGATTGGGCTAGTCTAGTCCGCGCTTGTGTTTCCCCAGGGAAATATTAGGAGTCCAAAGTTGGCTGTTTAATGTTTCCGGCAGTACCCAAGACTCGGAGCGAGGTAGGAGGCTTAAAATTTCTGCAAATAATTCACAATTATCTAATGCTACATTACCCTCCGCAGCAGTCTGTCTCCAATCTCCGTTCCTGTTTCTTTTGGCTAATGATACATCACAGGGGATGCTTAATTGTTCTAATGTTACCTGTCTCTTATCTGAGTGTTGGAATGGTTCTTGGACTGTAGCAGTGGTTATGAAAATTCCAACTTTTGTCCCAATCCCAGTCATTGCAGACCCAGATAAATTCCCCATTGTTGAGCTACTTAGAGTCCGCAGGGATTTTGGAATTATGGCAGCTATAGTGACAGCTGTGGCAGTGTCTGCTGCTGCAGCAGTTACGGCCGGAGTGGCCATGGCCAGTCAAGTACAAACTGCTGCCACAATTAATCAAGTTGTTCAACAAACTTCCACCATACTTGAATCCCAAAATACAATTAATCAACATATTTTGTCAGGGATTTTAGCTGCCAACCAAAGAATAGATTTACTCCAAGCTCAGGTAGAAGAATTGGCTGACTTGGTGCTTTTGGGTTGTGTTGACCAACGTGCACATTTATGCATAACCTCTGTCAGATTTAATGATTCCAGGAATGCCTCCCGCATCATTGGCGAATATTTGGCCGGAAATTGGTCCATGGCAGCGGAAGACATGATCCAGTCTCAACTAACCCAGATAGCTGTCTTGAACAGTACCCGTGTCGATCCCGTGACTTTGGGTCAATTCACCGATTGGATATCTTCTGCTTTTTCCTTCTTCAAAGAGTGGGTGGGGGTAGGCATTTTTGGTGCAATGTGTTGCTTCGGTATGTTCCTCTGTTTGTGGTTTCTCTGTCGCCTTAAGGCCCGCAGTGCTCACGATAAGGCTATGATCATACAAGCTCTTGCAGCTTTAGAAAATGGCAACTCACCTCAAGTCTGGCTTGCGCATCTTAAACAGTAAACCTTTGACATGGTCGTTACACCCCAAGTTATTATAACATTGCACTGGGATGGACATGACTTTCTTTGTTATTCTCTTAGTGTTGGAAAGCCCTTGCACTCTGCCGGTCTTACTGCCATTGCACGCAGATGGGTTTCCACACTAGTGCTTTTCTATCGTCTTAAAGTCCGTGCCTTTCTTTCAGGGTGCTGTCAACTTGTTTGTCGTTATAAACAGCCACAGTTCAGCCTCAGCTATCTCCCTTTGTCCACCATCGTCACGATACAGGATGCGAGGCAAGGCACTGCACTTGAGTGATCCTTGACGAGGACCTCAAGGAGAGCATGTCCTATTGCATGCAGGTTAGACGCGTCCACGCCCCGCCCCACGAAAAAAAAAGCGTCGGCTGATATGGCCTCAGATCTGGGGAAGGGCCCTCCTTAGGACTGAGCCATACTATGCAGCCACTTCTGCACAGTGGGATAGGACCTCTACTCTCGCCTGTATTAAGAAAACAGAAAGGGGGAACTGTGGTGAGCCGCTTCTGCTGTTTCTGCAGACTATGGTCGCCATTACAAGATGGCGCTGGCTCCGCTGTGGTCTGTGACAAACAACTCCTTATTTGGGAGAGTTGGCGCATGGTTTTTCACCACCCTATGAGAAAGCTCCACGTGGCAGCTTCGCATTGGGGCTTGAGATGCTTTATTAAGGCTGGGAGGGGCATCCGAGAGGAAGAAGAAGAAGTATCAAGGGCCTGAATAAACTGCTGAAAGAAGATTCCTGAGTTGCGTCTTCCTTGCAGGCAAGGGGTCGCGACAGCATCCTAGTTTTAAAAAATGATAAATTTTAAGATTTTTATAATCACACATATTGGTTAGATTATTATTTAAATTGTCAAACTTCTTTTATTACTTGGTTTTATAATAATGGTAATTATTTAGCATTCTGTTCTGGAATTTCTTTTTACAAAGTAAGGGGAAAGTGGTTGGGGTTGGGGCTCAGTGGTAGAGCACTTGCCTGGTGTAAGGCACTGGATTCGATCCTCAGCACCACATAAAAATAAATAAATAAATAAAATAAAGGTATTGTGTTCATCTACAACTAAAAATATATTTTTTTAAAGTAAGGGGAAAAACTAACATAACTGAGACAAGTCCTACATATTCAGCAAAAAAATGTTTTACATTTCATAAAAACAAACAAAAACACTCCTGAAATTGCATTTTGTGAAAAAATAAAATATCTGTGTAGGCTGTAATATTCATTGATTTTCCTCTGAAGATTTTGCAAAATATTTTAACATTAGTGTTAGTGAAGTTGGTTAACTTGAGCTTCCTCATTAGAGCTTTGATTTTCGTAATTTAAACAAACAAAATCTTCTCCACTAGGTGGTGCCAATATCCTGTTACAAAACACCACCACTCTCCACCCTTCACCACTACCAAAAAGCCTGATGTTTTTGTTTTGATACTGAAATTTCATGTCTAGGTTGCTACATGGAGAATTTCTCTTTAGTTATAGGATGGACTGTACGTCTTTAACTTTCAAAATTTAGATCAATTTTGTGGTGTTCCAGTTACTGGGAAAATACATTAAATATCAAATGTAGTTCCCAACACTGTAAGTAGAGACTACTTTCCATGACCTTAAAATTTTGATAAATCCAGTTCCTTTGCCTTTATTAAGTTAATGGGACAGAGAGATACAAAGTTTTCTATAAATTTATTTGATTAAAATCACTTTTATTAAAGGAATACCTCTACCCAAAATGTAGTTCATCTGCAAAGAGTTTGGCCCAATAATTTTTTTCTGCTTACTATTCCAATTTCAAAAAATATGTTTATACTTCTAATTCTTGATCTTTCAAATTTAGTTACTTTTAACAATAAATAAAGTATAAGGCCATATCTCTTCCTACCAGCTCCTCACAATCTTTGTGTATAGATATTTATCAGACCTAAGGAATTCTCATACGATTACCTTTTCTTTTTTTTTAACCACAAATAATTTTTAACACTCCAGTGCTTTCTTTCACAATTTTAAGTGGCATCACTGGATTTTGTAAGAAAAGAAATTATCATCCCTTCTCCATTTCCCCACATTCTGTTACTGACCAGCCTAACTTGACTCTAGGCCTCAGCTCTTCTATCCTTCAGGCCATTCTGTACAAAACCACAAGTGATTTCTGCAAATCTGATCACATCACTCCTGTGATTAAAATTCTTCTAAGACATCTCCTTTTTACTAAGGAGTCTTCATTCCTTACCTCCACCTGGACGGAAATTATCTGGATCTTGCCATTTTCTCCAATTTCTTCTCATATGTGTCCCATTTATTAACTAGGGCAGCTCTACTCTGGTTTATTTATAATTTGTTAAGCATTTCAAAACTTGTCTCTCTTTAGTTTTTTTTCTTTTTTTTTTAAAGATTTTTTTTCTCTAGTTGTTTCTTCCTCTAGAATATTTGTACTAGAGATTTTTGATGACTGGCTTTGCTTCATTTTTCAGATCTCTATTCAAATGCTGCTTGCTCAAAGCCATCCAGTTTTTACTAGTCGATTCCCAAGTCTAGCTCATCTAATGTCGCAACACAGTTCCACCCCAAGTCCTTTCCTTTGGCCCTGGTTTCCTTCATATCTTAGTTTTTTTTTAATATTTATTTTTTAGTTTTAGGTGGACACAATATCTTTATTTTGTCTTTATGTGGTGTTGAGGATTTAACCCAGTGCCTTGCATATGCCAGGCAAGTGTGCTACCACTTGAGCCACATCTCCAGCCCCATATCTTAGTTTATAATTCAGTCTGTCACTCTCAAAGTATAAGCTAACTGAAATTGAGGACTGTCTGTGTTTGTATGGTAGAATAATTTTCAATAATATTTAATATCTTCTCTCTTCAAGTACTTCTTGACTATTTTTGTTGTAATCCCCAATACATGGAATTTTTATTACCAACTTATGTCATAGCAAAAATAGTTCAAGTAATAATTCACCATATTGAGTTATAACAATAATTAAGCATTTCTTATGTTAGGATGTTTATTTGTGTGAATCAACAAAAAAACTACAGGTTCAAGCTTAATAAAAAACATTCTCAAAAATTTCAAAGTAAGCAATAAGTTATTTTGCTCCAAATAATCAAACCATCAACATGTATGTACAAAATTTTCTTGAATTAAATTGGCAGTTCTTAAAGAAAATTGAGCAGGGACTTATTAAATAAGCAGCATAAAAATATTTTTCAAAGTGTGAAAATGTTTTTTCATGTTTGATTTATCTTAAAATTTTAAAAATTTCCATGTTATGCTTCCAATTCCAGATTAATAAGTCAGTGTTCTTATATCCAAGTATTTATTTGGATTAAACAACAAATGTTTCACCCTATGCATTTAATAGTCATTTAATCATCATTTACCTTTTTTTTTTTACTTTTAAATTTAAGAGAATGGTATTATTTTCTTTGTATCTTTGAAATTTTTTTATTGTTCCATTATGATTATAGATAATAGTAGGATTCAGAAAACTTTACTTAAATTTTTACTTTTTTTTGTACATTTGCTCTATTTTTCTAAAATCATTTTTTTTTTTGGAGGGAAAAAGAGTAGAGTAGGAGATATTTTTAAATAGGCTACTTCTTAACTTAGATTATGGTAGAATATACTAAAAACCCAAACTACAGAATCAATTTAGAAAAAAATAAAGCAAATGAAAAAAAATGAAAATGGAAAAAAGCAGATATTTTGCATCAAATTTCTTTCCTATCTTCTCATGGATATACATGAGTATACTTTATATGCATATATATGGTATGATCCAAATAGCTTCTAAAAATGTTATTCAATTTAGAAATATCATGAGAAGAAAGGTAATCGGGAAAAGTGGTGTAAAAAAATCAGTGGCAGTAAGGAAGTTTTTTAAAAAAATAAACTCTAAAAAAGGAAAAGAGTTTATGTTGCACTTAATAAGCTTTCAAAAAATAAAATTATATATTTTTTATATTTAAGGAGATGATTGTGCAATTTCTGTGCAAAATTTTTAATAGTGAAAAAAAGTATGATGATTATTCCAGGGTGGGGCTGGAGTTATAGCTCAGTGGTGAAGTGATTGCCTAATGTGTGTGAGGCTCTGGGTTCAATCCTCAGCACCACATAAAAATAAATCAATAAAATAAAGGTATTGTGTCCATCTACAACTTAAAAAAATTATATAAAAAAAGATTATTCCAGGGTCATAAAAAGAGAATAAAAAAACAGGTAACAACCATAAGAAACTGGGTAAAATAACAGGTATGCCATAATTAGGTTGAAATACATTATTATCAGAAAACAGCTTGAGACTCCACTGAGATCAAATCTCTTGAAACATGTAGTGTCTGAGTAGCCTCCTACTATAACCAGTTCAAGTAACCAGGGACATAGCCTGATGTAGTGAACAGATCCCATATCCAGGCCTGATACAATGACCAGGGAGAAACAATGTCCAGATACTATGCCTGAATACAATCAACAGAGACATTAGCCTACTACTGTGACCAGGTAAACAGACAATAGCTAGATGCTATAAATAGATATAGTAACCAGGCCTGATTTAGTAACTAGGTAGGTAATGCTCAGATACTGTGCCTAGATACAGTTAAGAGAGACATCAGCCTGATACGGAAACCAGTCACTATAACCAGAGGTAATATCCAGATTTAGTGATCAGGTTCGGGAACCACAGACAATAGCAGATACAATGACCACATGCGTTAGTATGGCAATTAGACACAGAAGCCAGATACTGTGATGAGGAATAGCAACAGGAAACATTAGCCAGATACCGTGACTGCATTCAGTAACTATAGACATTAGCCAGGTACTGTGACCAGTTACAGTAAACAGAGACCATATTCAGATACTGTGACCCAGTACAGTAAGCAGAGACATTTTCCAGACACTGTGACAAGGTACAAGGTACAAGCAATAATACCCAAATATTTGACTGGATACAGTAAGCAGAGCTATGAATCCAATACTGGGACCAGATACAATAATCAGAGACATTAGCCAGATACCATGACCAGTTATGGTAAACAGAGACAATATCCTAACTCTGACTAGGTATAGTAAACAGAGACCTTAGCCAGATTTTGCAGTTAGGAACAGTAAGCAGAGACAATACCTCATACCTCAATGAGTTACAATAATCAAAAGCATTAACCAGAGATTGTGACCAGGGACAATAACCATAGACATTAATCAAATACCATGACTAGATACAGTAACCAGAGTCATTAGCTAGGTATAGTGACCAGGTACAATATACAGAAACAGAATCCAGGCATTTTGGTCATGTATAGTACACAGAACAATACCATGATGAGTCATTAGCCATATACTGTGACAAGATACAATAATCAGAGACATTACCTAGATACCATGACCAAGCATAGCAACTAGAGACATTAAACAGATTCAAATACCATGACAGAAAACAATATGAAGACACCTTGCCTAGGTACACTCAACAGAGACAATATCCAGATACCATGCCCAGGTACAGCATCCAGAGACATTAGCCAGATATCTTGTCCAGGTATTGTAACCAGACACATCAACCAGATACCATGACCAAGTTGAGTAACCAGAGATAATATCAGATACCATGACCCAGCACAATAACCAAAGACATAAGCCTAATATTTTGCCCAGATACAGTAAATAGAGACATCACTCTAATACCAGATACAGGTGCACTAAATAGACACAACAACCTGATGCTCTAAATTAAATGGAGATTCTGTGGCCAGGAATAGTAAGAAAAGACAATACCTCATACCTCAACCTGTTACAATAATAAGAGGCCTTGTCCAGATACCATGTCCAGGTACAGTAACTAGTGATGATAACTAGATTACATGTGGAGCTACAATAAGCAGAAATATTAATAAGATGCCATGAATAGATAATAGATTATCTAGAGACATTAGCAAGATACTGCAACCATATTCAGTAGCTGAGACTTTAGGAAGACATGGAGAACCAGTAAAATAAATAGTCATTACCCAGACTGTATCCAAGTAGAGTAACCAGTGTCATTAGCCAGATACCATGAAAAGGTCCAGTCTACAGAGACATTAGCCAGATACTATGACCAGATATAGTAATCTGAAACATTAGCAAGGTATGGTGACCAGATATAGTAACCAGAGACAGAAACTGTTACTGGGTACAGTAAACAGATTCTGTCAGTAGGAACAGTAAGTAGAGACAATACATCATACTCCAACCTGTTACAAAAAGCAGAGGCATTAACCAGAAACATTAGCTAGAACTTTGACCAGTCACAGTAAACACAGACATTGCCCAGATACAGTGTACAGCTACTGTCACCAGAGATATTGGCCAGATACCATGACCAGGTATAGTATGAGAGGAAATGGGTCAGACATCTTGAATAAGTACAGCATAGAGAAAAATGTCCAGTTACTGTGATCAGACACAGTCACCAGACATTAATCATATACTTTGACAAGATACACTAACTTGAGACATTACCCAGATCCATGACTGGGTAGAAGAACAGGAGATATAAGCCAGACAATGTGACCATATACCGTAACCAGAGAAAATATTCAAATACTATGACTTGGGTACAGTAATCAAGAGACATTTCCCAGACATTGTGATCAGTTATAGTAACCAGAGACATTAGTTAGATACAGTGGCCAGATACTATAACTAGAGAAATTAAACACTTACCATGACCAGGTACGGGAACCAGAAAAATTAGCTAGTTACCATAACCAGGTTCAATAACAAGAAATATAATCCAAAAACCATGACCAGGTTCAATAAATAGAGGGAGAAAGAAAAGCCAAACCAGATATTGTGACCAGTTACAATAAGCAGAGTCATTAGGCAAATACCATGACTAGGTACAGTAACACATAAGATGACCAGGTACAGGAACCAGAGACATTAGCCAGATATAGCAACAAGCTCAGAAACCAGAGCCATGAGCAACTCCTGTGAGAAGTATGATAACCAGAGACTATTTAGCCCGATTCCATGACCAAGTACATAAACCAGAGAAATTATACACTTACTCTGGCCAGGTTCACGAGCAACAGACATTAGCCAGATACTGTGACCAGTAACCAGAGACATTAACCAGATACCAAGGCTAAGTAGAGTACACACAACAAGATAATACCAAGATACCATGACACAGTACAGTAACCAGATACCAAGACCAGACATAGTAAAAAGAGTCATTACCCAGATACTGTGACCAGAGAAATCAGAGACTTTATCAACTACTATGACAAGATACAATGACCAGAGAATTAAACCAGATATTGTGACCAGGTATAGTAAACTGAGACAATACCCAAGTATGGTCATGAGGTCCAGAAACCTGAGACTTGGCCAGATCCCATGACAGGTACATCAAGCAGAGACCCTGATACCTGACCAGGTACAGTAACCAGAATCATGAGTCACATACCATGACCCAGTACAATAACCACAGACCTTAGCCACGTAAGGTCCAGGTACAATAACCAGAAACAGCCAGGTACTCTGACCAGACACAATAAACAGAGACAATACACAGATACCACGACAAGGAATTGTAGGTAACCAGAGAGGTTTAGGCAAATTCTATGACCAATTACAAAGCCAGACACTGTGGCCACATACATTAAACAGAAACAATATTTAGACACTGGAACAAGGTACAATAACCTGAGAGACAAATAAAATAAACAAAATACTACCCATATACTGTGACTAGATACTATAACCAGAATCTTTTATGCAGATACCTGACCAGGTACAGCAAACTGAGACACCAGCCAGATGTCATGACCAAATAGAGTACTACAGACAATACCCAGAGAGATGACCAGATATTGTTACAATTGGCATTGGCCACATATTGTGATCAGATTCACTAACAAGAGACATTTGATACTGTGTTCATGTAAAGGGAACAACATCCAGATACTATGATCAGATATAGTAACCAGAGACAATAGCCAGATATCACGACCAGGTACAGTGAACAAAGATAATGCCTACATACTGGGATCTATTACAATAAGAGACATTACCCAGATACTGTGACCAGGTACAGTAACCACTTAGACAATTGCGGTGACCAGGTACAGTAAACAAAGACAATAATTAGATAACCATGACCAGTTACATTAAACAGACATTAACCACATATTTCTGACCAGGTATAGTGTGAAACACTGGACAGATGACATGACCAAGTAACCAGAGACTTTAACCAGATTCCATGAACAGGTACTGTTCAAGCTGCCCTGGGCTCAGCCCACCTGTGACTCCCTTGGTGACTTGGCCAGGGATGCCTGGGGCTGTAGAGGTTCTGCCTTGTGCTGGGTTGCACTGGAGAGGTGGCCCTTCTTCTCCATATGCCCTTCACCTCTGCACCAGCTCTGACCACAATGGGTGAAGGCCAGCTAGCCACACAGCACCCTTCCTGGTTCCCCAGGCCTGACCTCCAGGGCCAACCTCACCCCACCTTGCCCACCTGGGCACCTCTCCTACCTGGAGTTCAGTGTGGGGATTCTGAAGCCTCTGCAGCTACCATGTCCTGCAGCATGGCCATGGCAGTCCAGCACCGAGTCCCCAAATGTCCCCAAAGGAATGGAGATGAGGGCTGCACCGCTACACTGCAGACAGGGTGGTCAATAGGAACACAGGGCGGACAATGGACGCCTAACATGGGGCCCAGCTTCTGAACTGGGAACCTCGGATCAGGATTATACCGTGTCCAAGCTGAAGGGAGCTCCAAGTCACAGTTCAGCCTGTTCAGTGCCGCTGCGCTCTGGGCGGTTGGCCACAATACAGATCAACTGCCATCCCACTGGAGCACGTAGATCATCGGAGCGTGTGGGCTTCTGAGTCTAGGAGAGCCAGACCGTGAGGGGATGGGGCTGCCGAGGGTTTGCCACAATGTGTCGGGGTGGACCCTGTTGCCCTAGGCCCCGCCCCCAGGGTGCCCTCACAGGTGCAGTGAGGCCAGGGCAGGAGGGCCAGGACAGTGGGGCTAGTGTGGTCTTCTTTGTGGAGCTTAGGGCCTCCAGGGCTTTCAGGGATGGTCAAAGTGAGGGCAGGGATGTCAGGGCCAACTTCATGGAGTTGCATGCTGAATCCTCCAGTCTGAGACCCAATTCCCCAGGGGAAGAAGGACAGGTCGGAGTTCCAGGCACATATGTGTGGGCGCACATGCAGCTGTATGCAATGTGGCCTTTCACCTACTGCTTGAGATGCAGGAGCAGGCACTCACTAAGCCTGTGGCACGCATGTAGCTCAGCTGCCTCAGTGCCCTGCTACAGAGGGTCATGAACCCACTGTCCCAGGAGGAAGGTTTTAGAGATGGCTGCTTGCCAGGCACAAAATGGGGAGCCAGGGCTGGGACACCCAGGTGCAGGGATCCCACCCTAGGCCTGTGGGGCAAGGTTCTGATGGCTGAGTCTGAGCTGGCCCACCATCTGGGGTGCTGCAGGTGAAGACATATTCCTGCTGAAGGTGAGAACTGGACAATCAGGAGGACAGAGCCTGGCCACCTGATGGGGTCAACAAGCAGCAGGTAGACCTGGAAGAAATTTATAAATTTTTAGACACATAGGTTCTGCCAAAAGTAAACCACGAAAACATGAATCCAGAAGAGATTGAATCAGTAATAAAAAGTTGAGGAAAGCCCATGACTAGATGCTTTTACTGATTAATTTGTTGAAATCTTTAAAGGAGAACTAATTCCATTTCTTTTAAATTTGTTGCAAAGATTTGAAAGAGAGAGAATCATTCCCAACCCATTCTCTGAGGCTACCATTACCCTGGTACCATAGCAACAAGAACACAAGATAAAAGAAACTGTAGACTAATAACCCTGATGGACATAGATGTAAAATTTCTCAATAAAATATGAGCAAATCTGAATGTGCTTCAACAGAAAATTATAAAGATTATTCACCACAATCAAATTGGTTCCATCCCAGAGATGCAAGGATGGTTCAACATATTCAGATCAATAAACATAATACATCCCATTAACAGAAGGAAAGATAAAAATCATGCGATTAATAGATATGGAAAATGCATTTGAAAAATTTCAGCATCACTTCCTGATAAAAGTCCTGAGAAAATAAGGTTTGGGAAGATCATACCTTAGAATAATAAAGGCCATACAAGACATAGCCACAGGCAATATACTGAAATGAGAAAAGACGAAAACATTTCCTGTAGGATCAGGAACAAGGGTATGTATTCTCCCTGCTCTTATTCGGTATAGTACTAGAAATTTTAGTCAGAACAGTGCAATAAGAGAAATAAAGGGCATACAAATTGGAAGGAGAGAAGTCAAATTATTTGTGTCTGCAGATGATATGTTTAAATATATAGAAAAACCAAAAGACTCCACCAAAAGACTATTAGAATGGATAAAGTCATTAAAGTAGCAAGATACAAAATCAATATACAAAAATCAGTGAGATTTTTATACACCAATAATGAATATACTGAGAACCAAATAATAAAAACAATCCCATTCACGAATCTTTAAAACAAGCAAACAAAACCGCAAAGAAAAAAGACATGTACCACACACTGATTAAAGAAATTGAAGAAGATACAAAATAAATAAGAAACTCCCCATGCTCATGGATTGGAAGAATTAGTGTTGGTAATAATACATTAAACATGTATTCCTTCAGCAATAATACCTTAAGCAATTTACAGATTAAAAGCCATTCCCATGAAAATATGAATGATATTCCTCACAGAACTAAAGAAGAAAATTCTAAAATTCATATGGAAGCACAAAAGACCCTGAAGAGCTAATGAAATCTTGAAAAAAATAAATACACAAAGGCTGTAAGCATCACAATAACTGGTTTCAAGACATACTACAGTACCATAGCAACCAAAAGAGCATAGTATTTGCATAAGAACAGATGCAATGACCAATGGTACAGAATAGAGACACACTCTCCTTCTCTCTCTCTCTCTCTCTCTCTCTCTCTCTCTCTCTCTCTCTCTCTCTTTCTCTCTCTCCATAAATATGTGTATTTATAGATAGATGAATACAAACATACATATAGATATATCCATGCATCTATATCTGCTGATTCCTAAGAAAGTTTCCAAAAAAGAAAACATTGGATAAAGTACCACCTCTTCAATAAATGATGCTAAAAATGGATATCCACATACAGATGATTGAATCTTGACTCCTCTTTCCATGCACAAAATTAAATTCAAAAGGTACACAGGCTTAAATGTAAAACCTGAAAACTCTAAAACTACTAGAAGAAAATATGGAGAAATAAGAATGTGGTTCAAGCAACAATTTTCTGGATAGAACCACAAAAGCACAAGAAACAGAAGCAAAAACCGACAAAGTTGATATATTAAATTGAAAACTTTCTGCACAGCTAAAGAAACAGTCAACAGAATGAGACCAGAATGGGAAAAAACTTGCCACCTATGCATCTCACAAAGGGTTAATACCTAGAATGTATAATGACCTCAAAAAAACTAAAAACAATTAATCCAATTAAACATTGGGCAAATGATTTGTGAATAGACATATCTCAAAGACATACAAACAGTCAAAAATACATTTAAAAAAACCCTCTCAATATCATTAGCCATCAGGGAAATGAAGATGAAAACTACAATGAGATACCACATCACCCCAGTTAGAAGGTCTATTATTAACAATAAACCCTAAAATTAATAAATGCTGGTGAGGATGTGGGAGAAAAAGAACACTTACACTCTCTTGGTGGGAATTTAAATTGGCACGATCATTATGGAGAGCAGAAGGTTTTTCAAAAAACTTAAATTAGTTCAGAAGTACATATCCATAGGAAAAAGAATCAGCATACCAAAGGGATATCTGCATGCCCATGCAGTGTTATTCACAGTAGCTAAGATATTGAATGAAAACATGTGTTTATCAATACATGAGGAGATAAAGACAATGTAGTATATTTACACAAGGGAATATTATTTAGCCACAAAGAAGAATTGGCTTTGTCATTTACACAGCAAAATGGATACAACTGGAGGACATTATGTTAAACAAAGTAGGCCAGACACAGAAAGATAAGTCCCATACATTCTCTCTCATAGGTGGAATATTAAAAAGGGTGACTGAATGCAAGGGATGTAGGGTGGGTAAATAGAGGTTGGATATGATCATGCTGGGTGTTTGAATATATGGAAATATCACACTGACCCCCATTAATAAGGGCAACAATTACATGCTAATAAAAGATTGAAAACATATATAAAATTGTATTAATTAATGATTTTAAAATAAAAAAATAACTTATTAATCTTTATTTCCTCACATATGAATATTTGGTAATAAAGCATTCCACAGAATATTTCTTTTATAATATGTGAATTATTGCTATTTTACACAGAAAAGTATCCTACTATAGGTGCTGATTTTCCAAAGTCCCATGAGATTACTGAAGTACGTATGTAAACATTTTGGCGGGTTTGACCACTTTCCATTTCTACATATTACTGTCTTGCTACCTTCAAGTTGATATAAGGATTGGCACTGATATTCAACTGATGATCCCGTAGGATATACTGGTAATGGGAATGAAGTGAGGTCTCCATTGTCAATAGGTGGAGGAGGCCCACATTTTCCTGTGGAATCTGGAAAAATACCATTTCATTTGTGGAGAGAACAAATCAAAATACAGTATAAAATTAAAGCCAGCACACACATCACTCTAGATAGCATCAAGATTTTATGATTTCTGGTACCAAATGATTGCTCACAGAAATCTTAATCATAGAAAATGAGAGTTACATTTTAAGTTCTTTTCATCTCAGTGAAGGCGCACATACACCATCAACAAATATGTCTCCTTTGTAGTGATTCAATACTAAAAAAATGTGTCTTAATATATAAATGCTGATCACGTAGACAGTGAGGACAAACTAAGAAAGTTTCTTGTTATTATATATGACATTACGCAGTGTTTATTGTGACCCTACTGACTTCTTCTTAATTTTCCTTTTCATTACAAAAAAAAAAAAAAAAACTCCTTGAAGGAAGTAAATTTGTAGAGAATAATAGGGAAATATTGTCTTCCTAATTTGGAGAAGATGAGTAAAAATCATTGTTACCTATTCCCTTTTTTTCACGTTTTGTATGTTGGGGCTTTTGAAAAATTTTAATTTGTTATATATGACAGCAGAATGTATTCCAATTCATATTACACATATAGAGAATAATTTTTCATATCTCTGGACACAAAGTAGAGTGACACCATTCTTGTCTTCATACATGTACTTAGGGTAACGATGTCCATTTCTTTCCACTGTCTTTCCTATCCACAACACCCCTCCCTTCCCCTTTTGCTACCATAAATTTTAATCTTGGACATAAATATTTTTAAATACCATTATAAGAAGATTCTAGAAGGTACAGAGAATTCACTCTGGCTAGGAACTTCAGGACTCAAGGAATGGCAATCAGGTTGTTATATGAGTTCATTTGGGGGCTCTTGTGTGTTCTAGATGGAGTACTGGAGAAGACTGATAATCTCCGAAATGATATTAGGTAGAGATAAATAAGGAAAATCTCATGGAAAGTCTCATCTCTTTAACCTAAGGACAAGGAAGGGAGCAGCCTTGCAAGTCTAAGAGATCTTTAAAACAATACATGACCTAATCTAGAGAAAATCATAAAAACATCATAAGGCACTGATGACCAGAGACCAGCCACATATAGGAGTGGCAGAAGAGATCCTGTATGCCTGTAGAGGCTGAATGAGAAACCTGACTTAAATCCAGCATGGCTGTAATGGAGAACCACTGAACATGAAATTTAAATAAAATGATTGGTGGGGAAGTCCTCAAGTATAATACCTAAAATATCAAGTGTAAAATTAAAAATTACTCATCATATTAAGGATCAGAAACATTTAAAAACAAGAAAGAGAATACAAGAGAATACTGATGTGATAAAAATATTGATAGTCAATGTTTCTTAAAAGCTCTGTAGGGTTTAGAACAGATAAATATAACAAATTAAACACAAAACAAAATGTCTCACTGGACAGACTGAACAGTTTGAGGATGTCCAAAGGATAAATCCATGCACTTCAAGATATAACAACCTAAATTACCCAGAGTGAAAATAGACTGAAAATCAATCAATGAATCAATCAAACTTCAGAGACCTTTAGAGGAAAAGAAAATGTTGAAGGCCCAGAAAGAGGGAAGAAAGGATAATTGACTTATCAAACAAATGAACAGACTAAGGAGGAAAAAGTCTATTATATTAGATATTCTTTCTTTTATCAATTACATTGTCAGTTTCTCACTCCTATAATTGCTAAAAGGAAGACTATTTAATATAGTAGACTTTTTTTCTCTTCAGTTTGTTCATTTATGTTTGTTGCTTGAAAAATAATTATAGCGTTTTACCAAATGTTCAATGTTCAATGTATGAACAGGAATGTTCAATGTATGAACAATGTTCAGTGTATGAACAGGAAATACTAAAGGGTAAATGGATTTTAATGGAAGTAATGTTCCCATGTTTTGACTGAAAATAAAGTGCCATTACTAGTAGAGTGGTAAGTTGGGAATATATTATGTATATATTGCAATTCCTAAAGCAACAATTTTAAAAAGAAAGGTGGTGGGCGAAGCTATCATAGAGATACACTCAAAAACAGGAAGATAAATTAAAATGAAATTCTTTTAATATGTTCCCTGAAAAGAAACAAGAATTAGAAATAGAGAAATTAAACAAATAAAACAAGAAACAAAAAGCCCAATATTTATTTTAAATATAAATGATCTAAATATATCAGGTGAAAGAGCAAGTAGGGCAAGATAGATTCATAAATGAGACCTAATTCTGTGGTTTACATAAAACTGACTTTTCCCTTAGCCAAAGGTAGATTCAAATTAAAGTAAGAGAAAATAAATTAGGAAAAATTATTTTTAAAAATGGAAAAGGATGATATAATATCTCCATTATTCATTTCCTGAATTTTAAATATTAGAATGCTGATGACCAAATATCCAGACTTATTTTTAAAATAGAGTGATTCCCTGGCTAGACTCAGTCACATATTTTCAAATATACTCTATATACTGAAGATGCCCAAGTGTATATTTGTATTCTTTGATCAGTCTTCAATGACCTATTTTTTGTTTCTCAAAGTGGATATGTCTTGGAGTTGTCAAATGTACTGAATGTTTTAACATTTAAGATGAGGAATTTTCTCAGATTGTAACTGTTCTATTAATCTGGTTAAATGTGTTTCCATTTCATAAAAAACATAACAGTATGTCAATCAACATATGAATATGAGATATAGAAATATTACTGGAAAAATATGGCAATTTTGGGGCAAATTTAGTGTTGGCAAAAATGATCTATATAGACCAAAAATAACTCACAAAAATTATTAATTTGGATTTCATCAAAAGTTAGAATATATGTTACTGGAAACAATGTCCTAGAACCTCAGAAGATAAACCACAAAATGTGAGAAAATATGTATAGACATATATCTGATAATGGTATTGCATCCTAACTATATGAAAGACTATCACAATGGAATTATAAGATAACCTACACAATTTAAATGGGAAAAACATTGAAATTTACCAAAAAAAGTATAACAATGTCCCAACAGATATAATGTCTAAGCAGATATAATAGTGCTCACCATAAAGAGTCAACCAGGAAAATAAAATGAGGGCACAATGATATACCATTACATATACACCAATGTGGTAAAATTTTAAAACTGGCCATCTTATTTGTCAGTGAAGATGCAAGTCAATTGGAACTCTTAAATGTGGCCAATAAGAAGGTATAAAATATTCCAATAATCCTGAAAATCAATATGGCAGATTCTTATAGATTTAGTCATATACATAGCATATGACTCAGCAATTTCACTTTTAGAAATGTATCCTAGATAAAGAGTAAAAATATGTCTATACAAAGACTTTATTCTAATGTTCATAAAGAGTGCAATCATAATTACCAAAACATGAAAATAACCCAAATGTTCATTTGTAGTGGAATAGAAAACCAAATACTCATTGATTTGTATAATGTTATATGACTTCATAATGAAAACAATTAGTTAATGCAAGAAACAACAGAAAAAAATTTCATTTTGCTGAAAAACATAAAGCCAAATATAAATGAATATGCTGTGTAAATCTATTGATAACAAAGTTGTCAAAAGGCAAACTAATCTGTAGTGACAGAAATAACATTGATTACCTATGTTGATGGAATTGAGGGTAGACTCAGTGGATAAAGAACCAGAGAACTTTCTCATAATATTAAAAGTATCACAAACTTCATTATGTTTATACTTATATAATTTATCAAAGTCTTTCACCTTCACACTATATACTTCTTTGTATATACTTCATACCTAAATAAAGTTTGTCTTTTTAAAATTGAACCCTTAGAAATTTAAAAATGAGTAGGTGACTGGCAAGGGAGGAAGAAGGGCCAGAGGAGGTAGTGGGGAATGAAACTAATTAAATTATCATGTGCAGATATGAATATGTCACAACAAAGCCCATTAGTCTATATTATAAAATACATACTAATATAATTTTTAAAATCATCCCTTAGAAATTAAATATGCAGTTTTAAAAACATTTTTAAATATAATTAAGTTACTGAAAGAAAAAAGTCAAAGCAATCTGTCTACATAGAATATAAAAAATGAAAAGATATAGAAATAAAAGTTATATGTTCAAAGCAGATTAACCCAAATAACACTTCAGATAGAAAAAATACAGGAAAAATAATAATATAAGCAAAAAATAGTTCTGAAGAGAAAGTTAAAAAGCATCAAATAAAAGCTCAATACAAATTTTAAGCAAATTAATAATATAAATCTTGTAAAATTTAAAATTGCCAAAGATAAAAGAACATTCTTAGAGCTGAAACAAGTAATGGATAGACCTGTTACCTAAAAAAGAATAAAGTTCAGAAAAGCTCAAAGCTTCTCATGAGCAAAAATGTGTATCAAAAGACCTAGATATGAAATATAGAATGTATATGTAGAAATATATACATAGAAATATACTTCATTTCTAAAAGAGAAAGGTCAATATCATTAAGCTGTGAATTCTTTGTAAATTACTTTGCAGACCCAAGAGAACTGCAAACAAAATCTAAACAGGGTAATTGAAAGTAACATGGTAAGCTAAATTTAAAAGTTTTCAGAAGATCAAAGTGTGGTGGCAGCAAGAGTGTGTGAGTAGATCCTAAGTGGTATTCGGGCCTCCACACACTCAGATCAGTACCTCTGGAGAAAGTTAGCTGTCATTCAGGTAACCTAAGGAGAGGCCCATGTGGTCAGGAGCTGAGGCCTCCTGCCAAAATCTATGTGCATGAACCATGTGGGAAGCAGATCCTGCAGAACAGTCTATTACTCCAATGTACTGACTGCACCACAAGAAGAAACTGACTCAGAAGTACCCAGGGAAGTCATTCCCAAATTCCTGACCCACAGACACTGTGAGACAACAAATGTTTGGTATTAAACAAATATGTTTTGGGGGAAATTTGTTTTAATGAAACAAATAACTAACATATTATCTGTTAGAAGGTAGTATTTTTACCCAATGTTTTATTCACATATTGGAAGAATTTTATTAATTAGAGAAATACATTTATACACATACATACATTTATTGAGTTGCAAGAAATTGTTTTAGTAAATTTCATACTAAGAAAAGTAAAGAATGATTTTAAAGGCTCTAATTTATGTACATATCATGTACATAAACATAGACAACTATTTGGTCTTGTCACTGGGTGTTTGTGTGTGTGTGTGTGTTAGTGTGTTTAGGAAAAATATCAATTCAGAATTACAAAGTAGGTCAAGATGTAAATGAAACTTACAGCTACATCTTGGAGGAGGTATCCAGCCACTACTTGTACATTTTGCAGTATTTCCCCTGGTTGCAGGATAAAAACCACTTTTACATTCATATCTGATTTCATCTTCAGTTCTGTGCTTAATCCTTTGAGGTGAGTAAACACCATTTGGAATATAAGGAGGATTACATGTTACTTCTGGAAAAAGAAATAGGATGTGTGAATAGTGTGGAAATCAGTACTCATTAAAATTAAGTATATCAAAGTAAGACTATAGGTGATATTTATTTGTCCCAAGAGGAGCACAAAATGACATTAAAATAAACATATCCTCACATATCACTATATATATCCTTATATATTACTCCTGTTAAACTTACTGTGGTTTTCACCAATATGTTTGTGTCCCCTGAACTCTAAATCCCTCTTTGTCCAAAGCCATCACATACTTCATGATACTCCATGTATGGCAATGACTTCATCATGTATAACTTCAAATATTTCTTCCACTTTCTTCTATTTCTTTTGGCACTGTTGCTCTCATAAATATACATAGACTCTTCTTTCTGACAACTAGTAGGATATCACATCCCTTCTTTGAATTAAATGTGGCCATATGACTTAGATAGTTCAATGTAATGAAAATAAAAACAGAAGGGAGTTTTAAAAGATGCTATATGAATTTTCATGTTCTCACTCCCACATCTGCAATAACTGAAGAAGAACATTGGAAAGATGATGCCTTTATCACCTGATTATTAGAACTAGTTCACCATATTTCACTGCATTACCATTGCCACTGTTACAGGATTCTTCCACAGAGTCCAGGAACCAGGGCATTCAGCAGGAAGCAGAGCATATTAGTGTTGGCACTGGTCCAGCGGGTTTGTATCCAAAGGCTGAGGCCCCAAAGCAGGAGGTGTTGCTGTTCTCATGAAAAATATACCTAACTTCTTTTCAGAAATGGCTGCAAATATCTGAGGACAGGAATTACGACAATATAGCTATGTCTTCTTGCTATTCTTTTTATGGTTATGATTTCTTTAACTCTTCAATCATCTATAATCTCTTGTCTAGGTCATGATCATTGGAAGACATCCCTTTAAAAGGAGGTAGGCAAAAAAGAACACAATATTCAGATATACTTCTTGTGGGGAAAGCGCTCTGCCTCTCTGCATGACATCCTTCCATGAAGAAGCTGGGAGTTAGGATTTCTTTTTCAGCACCATCATCACTGTTGTTCCAAATTAGACCCATTGCTCATGAAAATCTCCACTTTCTGGATCCCTTTAATTCCATTGTCTAAATAGAGATTTACCTCATCTGATGTTAACATAATTTACTCTTTAGAGCCAAATTCTAGGCTTTAGAAAAGCAATCTATGTATTTCAGAATAGCAAGGGCTGGGGTTATGGTTCGGTGATTGAGTGCCTCGAAAGTGTGAGGCACTGGGTTTGATCCTCAGCACCACATAAATAAATAAATAAATAAATAAATAAATAAATAAATAAATAAATAAAATAAGGATATTGACCATCTACAACTAAAAATATTTTTTAAAAAAGAGAATTGCAGATTATTAAAATTGGAAAGCCTATTGACAATCCTGACTCTGCTCCTGGAATGTTTTATCACCATGAACTAGCTACTTAATAGTATATTTAAGCTTATGGTCCTATTTATTTTTATCTTGAGAGAATATCATACAAATTAGTGTCAAAAAGGACTTTGCACATTTAATTCTTACAAATTTAATATGCCATTTTTGAGAAAAATAGATTGCTTGCATAAAATGATTATATTAATTAAAACAATTGGGTCTGGGGCTATAGCTCAGTGAATGGTGGAATCCTTGCCTAGTATACAGAAGGTCCTGGGCCCAATCCCACGTACCACAAAAATAAATAATAAATAAATAAATAACCAATAAAATTCTTTTGGAGTCAGGAACAAGGATTGAACTCAAGGCATTTGGCAACTGAGCCACATCCCTAGCCCTCTTTTGTATTTTATTTAGATACAGGGTCTCTCTGAGTTCCTTAGTACTTTGCTGTCACTGAGGCTGATTTTTAATTTGTGATGCACCTGCCTCAGCCTCCCAAGCCCTGGGATTACAGATGTGCACCACCGCACCAGGCCTGATAAAATTTTTAACAAAAGAGACAGAAAATAAAAATAATCTTACCTTCACATGAGGGACTTGGACTCCATCCTGAACTAGTGCATGTAGCATTGCCTCTTTCACTGTTTTCAAAACCTTGATTACATTTATATTGAAATATTTCATTCTCCTTATAAATTTTCTTCAGAGATACAGAATAGCCATTTCTAATTTCTGGCGATGTGCAGGAAATTTCTAAATACAAGAGATTAAATTCTAAAATGTTTATTATGAACTAAAGGACTATGACCAAGTTGTGTTTATATAAAAATAGAAATTTTTTTTTTCCATTAGGTAAATCATCCAAACAAACAAAAGTTCTCATTTGGCTTGACTGATTTATCTGTTATTCTTAACATCGTTGTTATTATCAGTTGCCCTTCTTTTTTGCCAGAAGTTAAAATTCTGAGTAAAATTATGTTTCAATTTTAGTTTAAGGGTAAATTAGTCCTTTGGCAATAAATGATAGTAATACTCATCAAATGTATATGTGATATTGAATTTAGATTTTCTCCAAGTGACTTGTAAAAATAAAACATTTTCTTGTTATTGATTAGAGTACTTATTCAACAGAAAACTTTGTCAAGGAAATTTATTCAATTCATTTTTCATTACATCTTTGAAAAGTAACTGAGATTCTGTTTTTGTGTCTTCATCATCTATACAGGTTTTCTGTCAAAAAAAATCACAACAAAACAAACACACAAACAATAACAACAGAAAACTGCCCATCATCCTTGACACCACTTCTCTCAACACTTTTCCCTCAGATAGTGACAATGATAACTGTTTTCCCAAATTCTCTTCTTCCATCTTCCTAATCTGTTTTTCTTGGGTTTAACTACAAAAACTTCCAAATGGTCACTTTATTCCTCCACTTGAAATCCTTCATCAGTTCCCAAATCAGTCTGTATTAAAGCTAAGTTCTTAAGAATGGTGCATTAGCTTCTCAGTACCTTGTACGGGCCTATCTTCCTATCTTCAGTTTACCACTGACTTATCACCTGACTGCATCCTATGCAAGGCCCCTGTGGACAGTGGACAAGGAACAATAGAACTTCACACTTATTGAAACCTCACTGCCTTTCTATGTTCCTCTTTGACCTTCCTGGGACTGGCATGCTTTTGCCTTCTTCATGGTCACCTAAAAATAGCCAGTAGTATTGTTACATGCCTGTAATCCCAGCAGCATAGGCTGAGGCAGAATTTCAAGTTCAAAGCCAGCCTCAGGAACAGCAAGACACTAGGCTTGTCTAGTGTCTCTAAATAAGGGCTAGGGATATGGCTCAATGTTTGAGTGCCCCTGAGTTCAATCCCTGGTACCCACCACCCTGAAAAATGAGCCAACAACAATATGTTTATGGTTAGAGTATGGATGTTGATGTCAGATAATAATCTAGGTTTAAATCTAGACTCCCTATGCTGTGGTAATCTAGGCTGCATGATTTGATTTTTGTTATGGTTTACATGTGAAGTAACACCCAAAAGCTCATGTGTGAGACAATGCAAGAAGATTTAGAGGTGAAATGATTGGGTTATGAGAGCCTTAACCCAGTTAATCCTCTGATAGAAATTGACTGAGTGGTAACTGAAAGTAGGTAGGGTGTGGCTGGAAGAGGTGGGTCATTGAGGGTGAACCTTTGGGGTATACATTTTGTATGTTGTGAGGAGAGTCTCTCTCTCTCTCTCTCTCTCTCTCTCTCTCTCTCTCTCTCTCTCTCATTCCTGATCATCATGTCCTGAGCCTCTTTCCATTGCTTCATTATTTCACCATCATGTCCCTTGAGCCCCAGGGAATGGAGCTGGCTATCTATGGACTGAGACAGCTGAAACTGAGACCTCAAATAAACTTCTCCTCCTCTAATTGTTCTTGTTTTTTTTTTTTTTTTAGTCAAGCAGCCAAGAAGCTGACTAAAACAATTTTGCACCAAAATTTCTTCAATTATAGAGATGATATTAGTACATAAATCATAAAACTGTTTTGTAAGGTAGAAAATAAGATGACTTATATAGAAAACTAAGATCAACTACAGGGATATTGTACGTGCTTAATAAATGTTAGCTTTTTAAGAATTATTTATATTCATTATTGTATACAATGTTTTTAAATATATATTTTCATAAGAAAAACTAAGAACAATCAAGCAAGCAGTTAAATATATCTCACCCACACATCTTGGTTTCTCATTACTCCAATGACCATTTTCTGAACAATATATTTCTTTGTGTCCTTCAAGTCTGAAGCCTGAATTACACTCAAACTGCACGACTTGTCCAGAATAATATTCCTCATCTGGTTCTGTCGCACTACTGATAATTCTCCTATTCTCTGGTTCTGTCACTGGCAAACACTTAACAACTAAAAAAACAAAAATAAATTTTTTTCTAGTAGAATTAGAAAACTTTATAATGAAATTGTGTGTGTGTGTGTGTGTGTGTGAGTATGTGTAAAAATCATCAAGATAAAATAGAGGAAATTACTTAAATATTTTTAGAAGCATTTGATACACCTGTTTGCAAAAGATAAAGGCTCGGTAACATTAAAATTACTGTTTATCTCTGATTCTTTTCTGTGGAAGTGAACAAACAACTACTTTGAATGGTAGTTTGCATTTTTATGGTAACAAGTAGTTCAAATTATTAAGAAATATAAGTTTAGAATGACTAAATACAAAATTTCCATTTATGCCCCCAAATAATGTAAACCAGCATTCTAAAAGATATAAAAGTAAACTTCATAATATTTACTTCAATAGAAAAATTGTTCTTAAATTTCCTTCCTCTTTCACCTCAGTGTTCAAAATAACTTGAGTACTTATTTTGATTTTTTACTTAATATTTTCAAGTATCCAAGGTTATGGTAGTCAAACCTTTTTACTGTAGAAGGACCCTGGATTCTTGTTATAATGAAAATTATAGGAGTGCTTCTCTTTCACCCCAAAGATACTGATTCAATAGGCCTTTCTTTTAGTAACCCAAATCTCAGTTTTAACAAGAATCCCAAGGGATTTTGATTTATTTGTTTATTTATTCTCTCTCTCTCCCTCTTATTTATCTATTTATTTATTTTTGAGGTAGTGGAAATAGAACCCAGGTCCTCATGCATGGCTAATAAACACACTAACACTGAGCTATAACCTCAACTCCTATATTTGATATATGGAAACACAAAATATGTAGTAATAAAATGACTTGTCAGGCATGTTTGGTACACATCTGTAATCCCAATGACTTTGTAGGCTGAGGCAGGAGGAACACAAATTCAAAACCAGCCTCAGAAACTTAGTGAGGCCCTAAGCAATTTTGCAATACCCTGTCTCTTAATAAAATCCAAAAAACCTGGAAATGTGGCTCAGTAATTGAGCACCCTGAGTTCATTCCCTGGTACCAAAAATAAATTTAAAAATAAAAAATAAAACAAAATAACTAGATACATTGCTGCACTGGACAAGCAGAATGCAGAAAGAACAACTTTTTCAGATTTTTCAAAAGTTTCTTAAAGCCACCTACCTGTAGGATAATGAAACTAGATATCCACATTGGATAGCCAGTTAAGTGGTTGGTATTCAGCAAGGGAAGGAACTTCACTGTATTATAAACCAGAAAAATAATTTAAATAAAAAATATTTAATTATAAACTTAAGGATGTTTTGATGTCAAACATTTTGAAAAAGCTTAAATAGTTTAGCTATCTTGAGAGATTGTAAATAAATTTTATATTACCTTCACATATAGGAATATCATTTGTCCATCCTTCTGCTTTACATTCTCGGAAATTATTGTCGCTTAACATTTGATACCTGAAAACACAAAAATAACAGACTGGCAAGAGATTACGTATTTGCATGCAGTTTTTAGCTTAATCCTACTCTGAATGTCTTTCAAAAACTCCTTTTTATGGAAAATTAGCTACTTATACATTTACTTCCTTCTTTTTCTCTTCCTTTATTTTACCTTCCCTACTATCCTTTCTCCCTTCCTGCCATCATTTGTTCTTTCCTTCCTTTCTTCCTTCCTTCCTGTCTTAAATGTCTTTCTCTCCCCCTCTCTTTTTTTTCTTTGAAAGACCTGCAGACTCACTAAATAATTTTCATGGGCCTTTGTTTTCTTCATTTGCAAATAAGGATTGTTCTGCTCATTGTACAAGTAAAATAGATGTTCTTCCTCAAAAAAAGGAAAATGGCTTTTATTTGTGACTAATTCTGTAAGGAAAGAAAACAGTTTCATAAACCTAGTTTTAGTCACAGAGACAAGCATTTATTCTATGTATCATTCATGTAAAGGAAACAAAATAATTGACTACTAAGATAATCCTGTAACTTCTCTACTAGCTAGAATGTACCCTCTTAACAGAGAAAGCAGATTTTGTATTTATTTTTTTCCACCTGCACCAGAGATCCATTTGTTTCCCAAAGATGTTGCAGATATTCTGCAACATTCTGCAAAAGCCTCCCATGGTCCAAATATTTGGAGGGAGGAGTGGAGGAAAAAGAGAGAAGTTGCCTATTTGATAGTGATTGGCAAAAAACAGTAGCTCACAATACTCAAACCCAGACAAGCAGAATAATAATAAAAAAAATTTTTAAAGGTTTTTCAAAACTTCTGAAAACTACCTTCCTGTAGGATTATAAAACTGGATATCTGCATTGAATATCCAGTTTAATGGTTAGTATTCAGCAAGAGAAATAACTAAAGGCAAAAGATCAAAAAGGGTTAGTTGACTGACAGAAAGCAAGCGGTAAAAAAAATCTATTTCACCAGTTTGGGGCTGTAGCTCAGTGGCAAAGTGCTTGCCTTGCACTAGGTTTGATCCTCAGCACCTCATAAAAATAAACAAATAAAATAAAGGCATGCTGTCCATCTACAAGTACAAAAAAAATTAAATCTACTTCACCATCTACAACTAGGTCAAAAGATTTACATCCCCTTGAAAATAAATTTAAGAATCAAATTTATTTTAAATAAAAAATTAAAATAACATAAATTACTTCAGTTTGCTGAATGATCTCAGCACTTCATTTCACTGATAAATATCAGCAATTTTACTGACAAAGTTTTGTTGGAGACTAAGAGAAGAGGCCGAAACTCCCACAGTGAGGCTATAGCAGAGTTACCCCTACTTGACACAGGGTGAGGTAAAGAGATCCAGAATCAGAGGCAAGTCTGTAGCTAATTTCTTGAACAAGTTGTAAATATGAATTGTTACAATTGAGGAAATCAAGTAAAAGAAATTTATGGATTTTGATTCCTTTCCAAGTCATTGTTGGAACCTAAAGGGAAGACTTTTCCAGAAATTTCAGAGGTAGAGCAAATCGAAAAGTTCAGGCCCAGATTGGCTTAACCTACTTGGTTATTATATAAAGATGACAGTAATAATGACTGAGAGTTGGACTGAAAATGTGTTTGAAAAACTTCCTCAGAAAAGGCCAAATTATTAAGAACTAATACTTATTGGGCATTTGCAATATTCCAGGATTTCTTTTAAGGGCATCAAATATGGGTCTTATTTCTTTCTCTCACTAATCCCATGATGCACATGATATGTGTTCACTTGAAAAAGAGAGCAAAATACAAGTGAAAACCTATTTATACACACAGATACTGAGAGTTGAAGGTTTGAAATGTGGATTTAGTGTGAAGTCTAACCTTTAAACTATTACATTTTCTTGCTCCAAATCAAGAAATGTATGAGGGGAGAATAATGATTCAATTTATAATCTCTTGATACTTCTTGTTTAGTGTAAAATTACAGTGATCTGATCATGGCTTTCTAATGTACAATATTTTCTGCTAAATAAGTTTTTGATCTAGAGAGGAATAAAAGAGAGGAAAAAATAGTAAGGAGGTACTGTGATGAGATCAGTCAGGAAACCTGACTGGTTGGTTAGAAGGCATAAAATCAATGATTCTGAAAGAGTAGCATTTTTGATATGAATGATAAGAAGAATTTGTATAACATGAAAATTTAAATAATAGCATTTATAAATAAAACTTACAACCAAAGTCTTGCTTCCCCTTAAATTTTATAAATTTATAATTTTATTATATGTCCAATTATCCCCAACATAAATAACCCAAAATACCCTACAAATAGTACAATGTAGAAAAGATGCCTTGGGTGAACACTTACTTACCAGGGTAATTACAGCTTGAATTTCTTAATGTTAAGGAGATAGTATGATATACACATATAATAATTTATATTGTACCTTAATTTTCAAGTAATTTGTGTATGTAAATTAGTACAGTTCCTCTTTAGTATTTGAGTTATAAACCTTTTTAATATTGACTACATACCCCTCATCACATTTATAAACAACTTTTGCACCGTATTCAAATTTATTTCCTACTTCAAGATGAAAAGAACCAAAGGGAGTATCCCCAGGATGTCCACAGGTCTTCCCTAAATATATATATATATATATATATATATATATATATATATATATATATATATATAAGTATGTTATACAGGGAACACATTTTATGTAGGAGTTGTAGACAAAGATATTTGGTATTTAATGAGAGGACAACATTGAATTAAAAGAAAATTGAAAATAGCAAAGCTATTATTTTATAATTGAATGCATTTTTAAATTTTGTCAGATTACTGTTGTCTTTTTAAAAATAATCATGTATCGTTTTGTATTAAAATGATAAGAATGAAATAATTCAACAAGTATTGTTGCAATATCAAGTATCAAGCATTTTCACAACTAAAAGATTTCATAAGTTTCACAAAAAAAGTGAAGTACTCAGGCTGGGATTGTGCCTCAGTGGTAGAGTGCTTGCCTAGTATGCACGAGGCACTGGGTTCAATCCTCAGCACCACATAAATGTAAAATAAAGACATTGTGTCCACCTAAAACTTAAGAATAAATTTTTTTTTAAAAGTGAAGTACTTACTCTGACATATCCTGGCTGGATTACGAGCCACCCATTCTCCATTTCTGCATGCCTTTATGATGATGCCAAGTGTTCTGTAGCCAGGGAGGCATTTGTAGATAGCCTGAGTACCCTCTGAATAAGGCTGGTCAGGCCAGGAACCAGACAGAATTTCTGTATCTCCTCTTGGAGGAGGTCCTTGGCAATCTGCAAATAATAAAAGCAAACATATGGTATGTTGGGGTTAGCTTTGCTTTTAAAAATACCTATGTGGTTACTGATCCATCCCTTGTTGCAATGTGTGTCACGGGTTGGTTGTGATGTGTCCCCAAAAGCTCACTTATAAGATAATGCAAGAAGGTTTAGAAGAGAAATGAATGGGTTATGAGAGCTTTAACCCAATCAGTGAATGTATACTTTAATGGGGGGATTGGGGATTAACTGAGTGGTAAATAAAGGTGAGTAGGTTGTGGCTGGAGGAGATGGATGGGTCATTAGTGTTGGGAGTCACCCCAGCTCCAAAGACTAACTTCCCCACCCCCCCCCCCCCCCCCCCCCCAAGAGCCGCCCAATGGTGAGCCCTCCTGACTCTCATGATCCTTACCCACCAATCAGAAAGCACTCCATGCCAACTGTCAAACTGTTAAACCGTTAAACTGTCATAACTGTCAAACCACCCCTGGCTCTGTAAATATGCAGAGCTGTTCCTCAATAAACAGGCATTTTCTCCGATGACGAGCCTTGTTCCTTGTTCATTCTTTCAAATAGAGTATATTTTTTGTATCTGGCCAGTGGAGTCTCTCTGTCTCTCTGCCTTCTGATCATCATGTGAGCAGCTTCCCTCTGCCACACTCTTCCACCCTGATGTTTCGCCTCACCTCGAGCCCTGAGGAATGGAGCTGCCTATCTATGAACTGAGACTTCTGAATCTGTGAGCTCTCGGATATACTTTTCCTCCTCTACAATTGTTCTGGTCAGATCTTTTAATCACAGCAACAGAAAGCTGACTAGAACAGTGTGCATGTAAAACAGTGTGTGTGTGTTTAAAAGTAAATTGTGGGATTGAGAGGATTAAATAAATTAAATCCAAGTGAGAAAGCCCTATTTCATGCAAACATATGGTCTTTGGCTATTTCTTACCTAGTTATGACTGCCAGCTCTGGATATGGATTGATGATCAGAAGTTGAATAAATAGAGGAATGGTAATGTAGAAAGGAAGAACCAGACAAACTTTGAGAGATTGTCAGGGACTAGAAGGAAATTCTCCTTCAAAGATTAGCCTGACAGCCCCCTGGGAGACATCCTGCCTGGGAGACACCCTGCAGCCATCTATCTCCCTGAGACATCCTGCGGCCACCTATCTTCCTGAAACCTATCTTCCTGAAACATCCTGCGGTTATCTCACCTTGTGCAGACATCCAGCAACTGCCGATAAGAGAGCTTCCCCATCCCCAGCATATAAATACCCCTGTGTGAACAATAAAAGTTTGCAGCTTGATCAGAACTCTTGTCTTGCTGTCATCCTTCTGTGTCTCTTGTCCCTTCATTCCTCCCCATCTAGGTTCGCTGCCCACGTTGATGTGTCCTGCCGGCCAGGACAAGAGATTACATCTAACATAAAATTTTCTGAAACCTGTTTAGAATCAGAGTTCCCTGCTGAAGATTTGGACTGAAATTTCACATATTCTCAGACAAAAAGTCCCAACAGGAAAAGTGGCCTGCTTTAAGTAAACAGTATCTTTATTGAACATATTCACTCAGGATCAAATTTTAAAACAGGAGTCAAAGCATCAAAGAAGCAGGTGAATTTATCAGTCTTTTGGGATAGAGGAACAAAATTCTTACCAGGTTCTCAATTGAAAATATATGAGCGTGCATACACACACACACACACACACACACATAGTCCTCTCTTTGCATCTTTTCATACCAGAAGTGGACTGACTCAAACTAAAATGTAACCCAGGCCCAAATGAATTTAATTAGATCAAAAGAAAGCAAACTCTCTCATTGGTGGGAGTAATTATGTAAACTTAAGTCATAACCTTCCATCTCATACAAAATGTATGGACTCGAATGAAAATTAAAGCACACATGAAAGGAGAAAAAGTATGTCCAGAAAGAGAAAATAAAGTTAGTAAATAGCAGACACTTAGCTCCTGAAGCTACAATGCTATCAATATCTTTAGAATAACTCTTTTAAGTATGTTAAAGAAATTATATAAAGAAGATGTAAATGAGTAAAAATAAAAAGATACCCAAAACAAAATGACTCTAAAAATCATGTGTTATTCTGAAAGTACAGAATAAATATGTGAAATAATGTCTCATGAGTCATATGGACACAGAGGGAAATATATTAAACTTAAGAAAGTCTAATGTAGAAATGCCACAAGTGAAATACAGAAAGGCTAAAGTGCATAAATAAGAACAAATCAAACAGAGTAAAAAGATGTGTCATGCAGAGTCAAGTGACACAACATATGAATAACTGGAGTTTCAATGAGGAAAAATTGACAGAAAAATTAATACTGAAAGGTACCTAAAATTGATTAGAGAAATCAAAACACAAATGCAAATCTTGGCAAAGGAAACCTATATTCAGGCTCTGCTAAAACACACACATAAAAAACAAAAGCAAAAACCTTAAACACATACAGAAAAAAAAACATTTTATTTTGATAGCACTAAAATAACAAGTGAGTCAATAATAGTAAATGTTGAAGCATGAAATCATTGTCTTATATTTCTAAAATTAGGTGCTTAAAATTTCATTTCAAAAATTAGTTAGGTGCTTAAAATTATATGTCAACTGAGAATTCATAAAGAAAAATTTATTTTAGGCTCAACACCTCAGAGGTTTAGTCCTTAAAACTATAAACTCAGAGTAAATTATTTCTTTGCTAAGTAACTGTTGTTAGGTACTTTGGTCACAGTGATGAAAAGCTGACTAACATACAAATACTAACAGGTTGCTGTGAGTAACCTGACCGTGTGGTTCAGAAGCATTTTGAACTGGTTTGTGGCAGGAGTTTGGATAAGTTTGGATATGTAGGCTGGAGAAAACTTAGAATGTTTAAAGCAAAGCTGGCCAAAGAAAAAGTCAGATTCATTTAATGGCAATTAATGGTTAGACTTACAGCAGACTTCTCAATAGCGGTAACAAGCTAGAAAAGTTAAAATATCTTTTTACCTTCTTTTCTAAGAAACATTCTTTTTTAAAATTATAGAGCATATAAAAGCATTGATACACGCTATAACATGAATGACCCTTATGCTCAGTGAAAGAAGCCAGACACAAAAACTAGACTGCAACGTAACATGCCATACCCTTGTCAATTCCATTCACATGAACTATCTAGGATAGGCAAATTCACAGAGTCAAAAACTAGCTTAGTGGTTGCTATGGACTGGGGGAAGTAGAATTAGGTGTGACTGCTTGTGGGTTCAGGATTTCTTTTTGTAATGATGAAAATGTTCTGGAATTAGATGGTAGTGATGGGTGTACAAGTTTGTGAGTATATTAAAAACCACTGAATTGTACACTAAAAATGTAGGACATTGGCAAAGAAATTCAGACAGACAGGTAGTTATTGTTTTGATCCCAGGTGGCAAATGGACATGCATATCTCACTTGAGATCTTTGTAGAATATATCAGATTTGGCCAAATTCTCCAGAAACTCTCATTGAACTGATAAAAAAAAAATACATGATACATGAACTACGCTTTGATCTCAATTTTTTCATCATGTATTTGCATTATGCTGGGGTGGGGGCTTGAAACACTTTTTCAAATAGTTAATAAATTTGACCAAGACTTCAAAAATAAAAAAGATCTTTTTAATTTGGAGAAAGCTGTAATTACCAATCTAGAATTCTACATACAGAAATAATTTTTCAAGAATAAAAATTGGATCACTAAAATTTGAGAAAATTGCCTCCATAAATTCACATTAATAAAACAAAAACAAATGAACTAAAAGATATACTTCAGAAAAAGGAAAATGCCCCTGGATATAGGGTCTATGATAAAAGAAGAAATGAAGAGCAAAGAAAATGATATACACAGGAGTAAATCTAAATTAACATTGACTACAAAACAAATATATATAATATATGTACATGTATATTTAAGTGTGCATACACACACATATATAAACTACATGACAATGGTGTATAAACTGAGAAAAGAGAATTGATGTCTTATAAGCCCTCAGTGTTGAGAAGAGTGGAAAGGTATTAACTAGCTGAGATAGTTTTCTTTTTTTATTTTAATAATTTGTATTTTATGTTTTACACAAATGGAGCACAACTTTCCATTTCTCTGATTGTACATGGTGTAGGGCTACACCATTTATGCACTCATACTCATACATAGGCGTAACAATTGATAGATGAAAATGGCTGGGCCTCCATCTTTTGGTATTCCATCAGACACTAATCTATGTGCTGCTAGGAGGGCATGCAATAAATCTATTGACTTTACTCCAGGTGATTATTCAAGGTAAAAATTCTGGAAGGAATTTTACTGTGGACAGCAATTGCCTTCCCTGAGAGTTCCAGTCTGTTTGTGACCTTCTCTTTCTGACTTCCCACATGTAGATTTCAGAATTATTAGATTGTTCCCACAATTTCCTAAGCAACTAGGAAGAATCTCTTATTTTAAGAGCTAAATAGATAAATGGGTATATTGATCAACTGATTGACATTTAGATAATCTTCTGCCGATTAGACTTTTCTTCTGAAATCTGAGTGATAAATTAGCATCAGACTTTGTTAAGAAGGCTCGTGCTATGATATCCATGTTTGTTGCTTCCCCAACATTCATGTTTAAACCTAATCACCATGTGTTGATATTAGGAGGTGGGGTTTGGGGAGGTAATTAGATTATGTAGGTGGAGCTCTCATGAAGGGGATTAGAGCTATGTTAAAAGTTCTGTAACATTTGCTAATACTCTTCAGGGGTTAGATACTATATTGTAGGCACTCAATCAAAATGTTTTGGAGAAGTAAAAAGTTTGGGGAAATTATGAATGATATGTTATTCAATTGACATTGTAATGTTGCTCAGGTACCTATCACATATCTAGTTACCTATCATGAATTAGGAAAGCAAACTTCCTCTGAGGATAAAAATTTTAATCTATTGGTAATTATAAGTAGAATTAAATTTAATTATAGGGGCTGGGGCTGTGTCTCAGTGTAAAGCACTTGCTTCACATGGATGAGACACTGGGTTCGATTCTCAGCACCACATAAAAATAAATAAATAAAGATATTGTGTCCATCTACAACTAAAAAGAATTTTTAAAAATTTAATTATAAATTCAGAATTTGTTTTTCTACTATCAGAAAAAAAATTCTAGTGCTCACATTTACTAATTCAAAAGAGTGCTCACAGAGACTATACCTTATAGAAAACCATAGGAAAAAAGAAACCAAATGAAAAAGTTAAATGTTACAAATATTGTATATTCAATTGTGTTTCAAACTGATATGGTCTTCTCACTCTAATAATACAAGTAATGCTTTTCTATAAAACTTTTAAGACCATGGTAATATCATTTGTAAATTATTATTTTTTAGGAAGAGTTAAAATTATATCTGAAATAAATCCAATCATTATTGATTTGAAGGCTTTCTTTGATTATGTATATGCACAAATCTCTTACTACTTTCACATAAAGCATTTTGATGAAGCTTGTAAACAAAAAGAGTAGATTGTATCTTATGTTAATTACATGGGAAATGATCATACCCGATTAGTTTTCAGAAACACTTATTGAAATAGTTTCTTAAATTATACATGAAATAAAATGATGAATAGTCATGTATGCCATTCAAATAAGGTAATTACATTTTTAAAAAAATATTTATTTAGTTGTAGATGAACACACAGTATCTTTATTTATTTTTATGTGGTGCTGAGGATTGAACCCAGTGCCTCACACATGCGAGGCAAGCACTGAGCTACAGCCCCAGCCCAGGTAATTCCATTTTTAATGTATAAAATGTCAAAAGCCAAACACTGAGCTACAAACTACTAATTAAATCACATTTTCTACACTAAATTTTAATTATGTGAAAAACAACATCAGCAAATGTTTCCTAATACACTTATGAGGAAAAAGCTTTTTTGTTTTCATCTTACCTTCTGCTGTACAAACAGTCCATAATATCAACCAAATAATCTTTGCAGGCAATCTCATGTTTTGAATCTTTTAAGGGCACATTTATTAGCTGAGAGTGCTCACAGGGTCCAGTTCACCTCTGCTAAAAATCGCAATCAGGACAGGAAAGTACCTTTTAAAGGAAGTTGATAGAGCTTGGGAAATAGGGATTGACAGTTGGCACAGGGTGCTTTCTGATTGGTGGGTAAGGAACCTGAGAGTTAGCAGGGCTCACCATTGGACCGCTCTTCTCAGGGGATGGGGAAGTTAGTCTTTGGAGCCAAGGGGTCTCCCAACAAAACCAAACTTCTTATATATTTAGTATGGGAAGAAGTTCTGTCACCTGGAAAAGGTACTCACTGAGAGAGAGGGTCACTATCTCCTTTGATGTTTATATTTCAAAAAGATAGTCCCTGCTTCTTGGGGAAGATTCCTGGGTTTCAAAGCTGACAAAAGGAAAAAACAAAAACAAACAAAGAAACAAAACCCCACAGGAATTTACATTTCAATTGCTAATCTTCTAAAGTAAATATAAATAAAAATGGGCAGAGAAATCATTTCCCTTATTTTCAGCATGGAGAACTAAGCTTCTTATTTTTAATTTTTAGCTTTTGGTGTTAACATCAAAAACATTTTAATATTTTCCTGTCTTGTTAGGATAAAACCAAGGGAAATTTTAGGGGGTTTGTATTGTGGCGGGGTCCCCTGGCCTCTCTGGCTATCTTGATTCATGCTCCCTTCTCAAACATTTTCAGCTACATTGTTCTTATTTTATCAGAATTCACACCACATTGCTTTAGAATAACAAAAACACTTTTCTGTTTCACCATCCCTTCATCTGAGTTAGAATTCCTTATCTTTTTCATTTCATCTTCAACATTCCTTTCATTAACAGCTGCCTGTTGCAGGAGATTTTTAGTTCCAAAAACACAAGGGCCATATCAGTTTTTGTTGACTATTGCTTTATGCTGTGTTCAAAGTATTTCTTTTTGACAAATAATAAGTACCTTACTAATCTTTTGTGATGAATGGGTAAGGAAGAATAATATGAAAATTAAGTTATTAAAAAAATAAAAGATAATATGATTCAATATTAAAAATCTGATGGACAGAAACTTCTTAGGATTAAGGGATTGGAAAAAATAAGACTGTAGAATAAAAATAAGACTGTAGAATTAATGTCTTTAACAAAGAGAATGACAAATTTGATATAACATGTTCACGTGTACACAGGCATACTCACACATATAAGTCAAAAGTCAGATAATAGAGGGAAACATACACCAATGGTTTAGTTGTTGTATTGTGAAACATTGTCAGAGTTTACTTTATAAATAATTAACTAGAAGATCCAGATAAGATGAGATTGAGATAACTTCTAACCATAGAAAAAAAGTCACCTGTAAACTAAGCAATGCACATTAAAACGAGATGCCATATTTAATAGTTCTTATACTTTTTAATATGGATGGGTATAGAGTGAAACAGAAACTTTCTTACATGGCAAACAGGAATATAAATTTGTATAACTGTTTGCAAAATGATTTGTCAGTATTTTTCAGGAACCCTGAAATATTTGTATTCTTTGATCAAGTAAATCAACTTTAAAAAAAAATAATGTTATTGTATTTTTTATACCTTTATTTTATTTATATGGTGCTGAGGATCAAATCCAGTGCCTCACTCATGGTAGGCAAGTGCTCTACCACTGAGCCCAAGCCCCTGCCCCAGTAAATCAACTTTTGACAGTCTACCTAAAGGTTGTATTCTGAAACTCAGAATACAACTCAGTGTTTCCTATTTATAATTCACTTATGATAGTATAAAGCTGGAAATAATCTTAATATTCAAAATTGGAAGAATGTCTTATTAGTTTATGAAATTTACATATTAATGGGGTAAATTCCTGTGTAAGCATAAGGTGTTTGAAATAATATGGGAAATTTGTTTTTCTGTGTTATTTTTTATGATTCCCAGATAATGCACAAACATTGTAAATTAATAACAGAACCAGCATTCTATTTACTGAGACCTGTATCAAAAGCAAAAACATTAAACAGGAAAGACTTGTTGAAAACATACTTAATATACAAGTCATCTTCAAAATCTCCTACTTAGGTGAGATCAATTTAAGGAAAATATTCAGTGAATTTTTTTTTTTCAGGTAAAACAGTCAAATCAAGGTAACTGCTTGTTGAATTCAGTATGTAGTTTTTTTTGCCCTTAGCTAATAGCCTGTTTGTTTTTGGTTCTGTTTTCCTGGAATATTATTGACCAGGTTTCCAAAGACATTAGAGATTCCAGTAAGTGACACATTGCGTGGCTTATTGCACTGGTTGTGAAAATATTATCCCTCCCATTTTCCTGTGAATGCTGTAGGCCAAAAAAATAGTCAAAAAGCCAGCAAAAACTAAGCAGAATAAAAACAACACAAACAAAAATTGTTCAGATACATGCACCCTCCATCTAAGGCCTGATTTTCAAAATGTTATAAAATTATATCAGATATGGCATTTTTACTTGATGATGTTTAAACATTGATAATAAGGATTTTTTTTTAACTTGGCTCTTTGATTCTGTTTGGCGTCAATGACTCGAATATGCACATTTTTATATGATTTGTGAAAATTACATGTACAATTTCTTCAGCAGTGCTTACGATGTTCAGCTGCTTTCTTTGGTTTCACTACATGATGTCATTTTTCTCATTAGGGATAAAAATCAATCCCTCATTCAATTATGATGTTAGCTTGCTATTGAAGAGAAGTTTATAGAAAGTGTAAGACATCACCCACTTTGCCAGGATTCTAATTTGTTACATTTTGGTGACAAAAATGAGATAAAATATTGCAGAACATTCCCTGGCAGCATATGCATCACCATTTGCCACATAAGAATAATTAGATCTTATTGTTTTTTTTCTTAATAATTTTGAAAGGAATTATTTGATAAAGAAGTTTGATTTCATTGACAGTGAAAGAGGCATCTTGGAATAGTGAATATATTTTCACTTAAAAGAATGTAGATAAAGGAACAGCAGGTTTGTTGACCTTCTTAAGGAATTACCTGATCTGATTCACCAATAATGCTTCACATATCTCAAACTTGTTTTTCACATCCCTTCCTAATGTTATACTTTTCTTTTTGCATCATTTTCATGAAATTAGGTAGTCCACATGTAAGCAAAATATAATTACTTTGCTATTAATGAATAAATCTGTGCCTGCTGAGCCCAGACAATCATTTTTCTTTTCCGTGTTCTTTTTTTCCTACAGAGATCACATTCAGTCCTAAAATTTGTATGAGAAGAATATCCACAGGGGCCATGAAAATTTATACCTTTACTACTAATTAGTTCCAAGCGGCATTGTTTACTACTATGGTTACATTCCTTCAGAAATGGTGTAAGATGTTATTTGCTATGTTTTCAAAATAAATTCACTTTCAAGATTATGACAAAAATTCAAATACTACTAGAATTCTTGGGAAAATAAGATGTTATGCCATTTCTATGTATTTGCTAAATAGTAATGTTTTAGTTTTATTAATGATATGGAGACTCCTGAAAAGAAAACATCATTATTCCCTCCCTCCCTTCCTTCCTTCCTTCTTTCCCCTCTGTCTCCCCTACCCTAGCCACCTCTGACTCTCTCCTTTTCTTTCTTTCCTTTTTTCTGTTTTTCCTGCTTATTCTACTTAGGTTTAAGACAGAGGTTGGTATTAGATAGGCATCTTTGTAATGACCTGATGAAATATATAGAAAGGACAATGGATTTGAAAAGAGTTTGAAATTCATTGTATTTATAAGTGTTTCTGATAATCAAAAATTTTAAAAATAATGTCCTGCTTCCTATTGCATTCTGAAATCCCCAAATAAATCTCACATGATTTGATATGTTATAGGCACAATCATGTAAGTATATCAACCAGGCCATCTTCATAACAAAACAGGAAACTTGAAAGCAAAGGATGTGGCACAATGGATATAGCCAAACTCCTTGGGGAAGTAAGCCTCAGGCCTTTTAATTTGTTGTGGAAGCATTTTTTTTTTTAAATGTGGCTCCAATTACAACCTTCAATGGCTATTCTATAAATTAATGTAATTGGTAAACTTTTTTGGTTGTTGTTTGTCGTAAGTCACAGCAACACTGAGATGGTAAGGAGCTGCAGGAAGATCCTTAGAGGAAGCATTGTTCCATATTTAGGAGGGGACTTAATCCTAAAGAGGTGGATTCCCTGCCACAGGGAACCTTACTGCAAATGCTAGATACTTAGTGTTTCATGGATGATTTGGAAGGTGGCTGTCTTAGGAAGAGAAGGTGACGGTGGCCTCTAAGGGGATTCCTATTTAACTTTGGATCCTTCTCCTTTATGTGTTCCTATCATACAAAAGCTGCAGTCACTCAAAATCTTAATAAAATAGCAAAGTAGTCAAAGTTTATTTTTGTGAGTCTCTTACTCCACACCACAATCCCACTCCTTTGAAAACAGTCCTCCCATTTTTAACATCTTCAAAACCCCCACATCTTCCTGCCACCGGCTGATGATTCTCCTACTCTATCTCTTCTTTCTGTTTACACTGACAATTCCATGTATCAAACCTATGTGTTGGTCTTCAAACAAAAACAAAAACAGCTTTTTTGTTCAGTGTCTTTGTATTATCATCTGAAGAAAATGATTCAACAGACCTTACAGATTTAAGACAGGATGGCGGACCCCAGGGGTTATTTAAGCATGAGTTAATTCCCATCCATCTCTTGAGTAGTCAGCATGGGGGCATGACCAAGCAAGCTCAGGCAACCTATGGGCTCCATGGGGCCTCCTGGAGGTCAGGCTGGCCTCCTGGCTTCCTTCCTTGACTCCCCTGGGGGCAGTGCTGTAAAGACACTGAATTCATGAATGCCAAACATATAAAGGGGAAGAGTTTTTGTATTTAGAAAAATATGATTTGGAACATGATCTGCCCATGTTGCCTTTAAATTTCCCAGGGGTCCACATGACTTTATTCTCAGCATCCTTTCCCTCCTTTCTTCTGCACCCACAGCCTTGGGTTCAGAGAACAGAAAGCAGCTGCCTGGAGGTAACAGGCTCCCATGATAACTAAGCAGAAAGGGAACAGAAGTG